ATGAATAAACCAGACCGATCTATAAAATGAAAGGTCTCGACAAAGGACGTAATGTTTATATAAATCGGTGGAATCTTAGTGAAAGGGCTTATTTGATTAGGAGTAGCAGCCAACCAAGCTCACTTCAAGCGGATGCAATACCGGATGTAATAACGATGTCCATTAATAACCTACATGCTCATGGTCATATTCTCTTGTAGGCACAATCCAGCACTTGCTGGGCTTATTGATGGAAGACCTTAATTAAAATTTACTAAATATCCTGAAAATTGGCTTTGAAGAGATTTGTGTGGGCACGCACGCGCACGGAGACTCCACATTCTGATGGCAACGCGTTGCCGAAAACCAGACAGCCGCACGACGAGAGTTACGACAATATTTTGTTTTCTTGCCGTGCCCTCGGTGGGTGTAATGCCTAACGGATGGGGATAGACTGCGAGTGAAATGAGGCAATTACTCGGGCAAGGCTGGAGTGCCACTCGTTCATGTCGTATACTCGTCTCATTCCCTCCTCTGCATCAACGAGAAGGGCCTTCCGTTGCTAGGGAAATCACGTGGTGACTCCTGTTGGCCTAGGAGTCCTCAGAATCGCAGCACTTGTCAGCTCTTCCATTGTGCGTGCGTGCGCGGTGGACGGATGCCTCGTCTCACCCATCCCTGGAGACACTCAGCCGCTAACCCGACCTGAAACAACGGGGGAAAATTCCCTCTTCCTTTGGCTTAGGATCGCATCATCATCTTCTTCTTCCCCCACACGACTAATTACCCATCCCTGATGATTTTGTCCACAGAAACAATGGAAATTTGAAAGAGAAACTGAGCGATGTTGTGAAAGATGCGCGCAAATCCGCCGAGCTACTTGAGAGAGCGGGGGGGGGGGGGGGGGGGGTGAAAGAGACTTGGAGTGGGGGGGGGGGGGCGAGAGCCGAACACTCGATTTTCAAGATGAACTGGAAAAGCAAATCAATCGAATTATGATGCCGACTGAGCAGGGATCAAACCGTTATTTTACTCTCGAAGAAAACAAACATCCACAATGAACAGTGTGTTCACACTGGCATTTATGACGTGTTTCGTGCGGAAGGGACAAATAAATGACAAAGAAAGATGGTTGTCCTTTCTTATTATGTTTTGGTGAGAGAGTTCCGGTGCACTTTGTAATTTGTCACATTGGGGTGATTTCAAGTTGTACTGTTGTTTTCCCAGGGTAAATACGCAACGGGTAAAGACTTTCGACTTTCTTGGTTGCACTATCTCTCTGTTTCAGCCGTTGTCAATCCACGGCAAAATGAAGGCCTACATCATGTCGCAAAATGTCTAGTCTTAGCTAGATGGCGTCCCCTTTTCCTGTTTCCCTCATGTAGTGTCCAAGATGTTAATTTTGTACTCCCCTATCGTCTGTTCGGTTACCACTCGATAGTCCGAATGTTCCATATAGTCCGAAGGTTCGATAGTCCGGAGGTTCAATAGCCCGAATCCGAAGGTTCGATAATAGGTCCGATAGTCCGAATCGACAATAATTAAGGTTCAACAGTCCGAATTGACAGCATTGAACATTATTGTCAATTCAGACAATTGAACCTAGTGTGCTTTCGGATTAATGAACCTTCGGAATATTGAACCTTGTTTTCGTTTCGGACTATAATTGAACATTCGGATTATCGAACCTTCCGACTAATGAACCTTCAGACTATCGCATCAAATGCTCTGATTAACGAACCTTATTTCGTTTTCGGACTAATGAACCCCCGGGTATGGGAAATGTATGTGTTCGGGCTATCGAACCTTGATGAACAAACCTTCGGACTATTGAGCGGAGCGGACTCAGTCTGCTCTACGGCAGATGTGTCCAGCCCAGTTCAATTTTCTACTTTTAGCTGCTTTAGTATACGCACTGCTAATTCAGACACATAAACGGCAAGGTTTTTTGGCAACAAGCAGTTGGTATTTCACACACAGAAAACAAATGTTTTCTCGTCCTGTACTAAAGGTCACTGTAACTCAACCGAAAGACGGTGGAAAAAAAGAGAAAGGTAAAGATTTCAATTTCCACATCTATACCAAAATGGGGAATGTGTGGTTTAAAAATGTGGAAGGCGACATTTTGATGGGGGTTGGGGTTGGTTCGATTGGCTAGCATTTGTAACACAAGATGGGATTCCGGATTCTCTCAATCCCTGTTCTCAACCCTAGACTATAGTATTATAAAAATGATCAACAAGAGCAGGACACAAAGTCATTTAAAAAGATGGGGCTTAGTGTTATTGTAATAACGATTGAAGTCTATCTGGAAAAAGAGGTACGGTATTAGCTCGTACTGATTCTCCATTGAGTATGACACTTCAACGTAAAAAGTAATGATGAATATTAAAAGATCAGAATGTTATAAATAATATGATTGTAATGTTATTGCACTCTTGTTCACGGCACACGTTTTTTGTTAAAAAGGATAATGCAACAAATACAATGTGGTTTACTGTGAAACAAAATTCTTCGAAATAAATCTATGAAAAATGATAGGCTATATTAAGGGAATCCACACCCAAACGGAGGTGAAAGTTGTCAAGTTCTTTGCTTTCAAACAAAAGAACAGGTTTGGGGTCACAAATGGAGAACGTCAGTTCAATATTTAAACTAAAACTTTGATCCTTTGTCCACAGTTCAGTCTGTCAGCATTGCAATCGTCCCACTGGACATGCCGTTTTGTAAATACGCGTTCCATATGCCTGTGAGTTCTGTTCCCATCTTTGTGTCCGGGGCAGTGAAATGCTGGTGTGCCGTGTGTAACCGGTCGCTCGATCGGCGCCGCCGCCGTCTCGCCTCGACCCGCTGCAATAAAATGTTACGAGATTATTGTGTGTAATTCGAGACGGGGGGCTCGAAAACAGCATGTCCATGCGCTTATGCATGTCACACGGTGATGTTATTGAGGTTTGGATATGGCATTGAACCATGCAACTTTAACCCATCATTAAAACGCAAGTTGGCACTCGGACTATGGCAAATCCCGCCCTGCAGTTGTTCACGACGTGCGTGCAGTTACTTTGTGAGTTCAGGCAAACCACTTTGTGCTTTTAGTGTGCCCTTTGCTCGCGCACACAGTGATATTAATCCGAATGTAATAACCTCGTATTGACGAGTTCTGGTTCTGCCACGGACGTTTCGCGCAGCAGCTGCAGCTGTAGTCAGGTGCCGGTCAGTCATTATTAGTCAAATGAGCCTTAGCAAACGTCCAGACACGCGACACGCGCAGCCTGTCATCCTGGTCACAGTTTGAAGTTTCCTGACAACAAAGCCTGGATAGCCAGATAAACGGCAACCATTGGCTATGGCTAGTAGTAGTACATCATAAAATTAGTTATCGTGATGCTAAACCATTGTGATAATCTTTTAGGGCGGTGGGAAGAGGTGTGATACAGCTGCGTAGCCAGGGTTCTCATCCTCGGGGGGGGGGGGGGGGCAAAAATGTCATCTGTGCTTAAAGGTGGACAGGTTCCCCCAACGCCCCCCTCCTCTCACGCCCCCTTTCCCCACCGTATCTACGCCGCTGGTGTGATAGTTGTAGGGTACATACCTCCTATAATTGATTGATTCATACTCCTTACTCGTGCTAATGTGCAACGACGGCAGTCTTACAAGTAAATCGGCGGAACGAATCGAATTTCCCTGTTGAATAATCGGGTTCGTAATCGAATTCGTAATCAAATCGTTATCGTATTCGAACCGGTACTTGGTCGACGTAGTCTGTGGAATAGTCGTGCAAGGGCGGTTCCAGAACACAATTTTTTTGGCAGGCCCCCAAAAAATTTGGTCTCCCCCAAAGTGGGTCAAAAACATTATGGCGTGGGGTTCGGGGCCCGCTTAAGGGCCCCGACATTTTTTAGGATTCTAGATGCTCTGTGGTGCGATCTGAGGCAATTTCTGACCACTTTAACCAATGTTTTTTTGAGGAAAAGATGGCGGTGTACTCATTGCCTGCCTGTATTGCGACGTCACTTACAAAAAAAAGGGTTCTTTTTGGGGGGGGGGGGGTGGCCCCCTTTGCCCGCCCCCCCCGATCCGCCCTTGTTGCAGTTTAGCAAGCGTAGTTTGCTTCTTGACCTCCAGATTCTGACCATTCAGCGGGTGCCTTCTATATTTGGTCTTTGGTAACCCGTTGCTGTCATGGCAGCCAATTGACCAATCAACAGCTTAGGCCGAATTTCTAAAGTCGACTCCGATTTGCTGGCACTTGGGGTCGCATACAAGTTGCAAGCTCACATAGACGTTGCTGCGGAGCTTCAGGGCTCCGTTTAACGATGGATGATACTCGGACTAGATCGATGGGGGTGTGGTGGGGTGACGAATCCAGACACGTGATCACTGTACACATGGCCCCCATCAATGGCGAAAGCATATTGTACTAGCTATCGTGCAAAGCTAGTGCCCCTAAAGCATAACGATTTCGCCATTGAAAGGGGCCTTCATGATAGAATTGATAGCGTGTCCTGATTGGTCGAGGGCCCGGCAGGCCATGTGCAGTGCCCCGTTAAATTAACGACATGACTTGTGCTTGAGTTTTATTGGGGAGAAAGAAAACTTGCTATAAAATGTTATTTCTCTATCTGGCCGGGGGAGGGGGTGGTCCACAATAAATATAAGGGTGGAAATTATCTTTTGGGGCGATTTTGAGGGGTGTTCATTATTCATTTTGAAGTGGGGGGGGGGGGGGGGCAGGGGCACAATAGTCCAATTCCCAACTGTTAAAAAAGTTGGTGTGTGTGTGGGGGGGGGGGGGGGGGTGCGCACCTTAATGAAAATATTGACAATTTTGCCCCTTTATGTGTAATTGTGTGTGCATTATGTTCGAACTTTTGTGTTAACCTTTATGCCTCTATTCCCACTTCCTTAATTCTCCCTGACTAGAACCCTTCCTTCTTATATTCAACTTCCCCCCCCCCCCCTCCGCAATGTTTGCATTTAATTGGGCAAAACATAAAACAACGACCCTAAAAAATATACAATATTTTGCTCATCATTTTATTTACATCATACAAAATGATCGATCTAAAACGGTGTATTATAACAAGGCCTATATCCACATGATAAATGAAGGCATCTTTTCGTTGTACAATAGAATACTTTGAACAATTGTGTCAACATTACTTATGTTTGTTTTAAACTCACTGGATCAGGAACCATGAAAGTGAATGTCTTGGAAAAGAGTTTGTCGTAAAATTGGACGACAAACAACATAATGAGAATAATATTGAATATATATTAACGTAAAATTAGATATAGACTATGGCAACATTGACTTTACTTTAAAGTTCGAGCGAACTATATAGTCAAAAAACAATACGTAGAGCTATAACGAGTACATATACAATGCAAACGGTTGGGTTGTATGACGAGGAATAATTTATAAGTACTTAAATAAGAAATAAAAAATCAATCATTAAACAAAATGGAATGACTTAGTGATGACATTTTTTTTACGAAGTGAGGCATAGACGTTGAAATACTAAAAGCATTTTAATAAAAAATTGGTGCATATATAATGGTACGAATAAATAATTGTTACCAGTGTCGTGTAAACATATCGCCATAATATAATGCCATTTTAATTAATAAATACATTAAGCTTTTTACATGCTTCAATGACTTGTAAATCAAGCACTGTGACTGACAACGAGTGCCTATAAGAACTAAATAAAATTTTCTGTCGTTAACATATTGTGAGTATATTTTTGACGCAAACATAAAATAAATAAGACAATAAATAATCTCCGTATATTTCAATAAATAAATTAAACGAACAAAAAAGCACACTTTCTTGAGATACAAGGAATTCTAAATAATTTCTACGAGGCAAACTTGAATATTTTTGTGCCCAGGAGCATGGCATTTCAGTAACATGTCCGGTAGCAGATCTTCGCTACGTTTTCTTGGGAACAAAATGATATATCCAATTATGAAGAAATAAATAACAGAACGAAAAAACATTATCAATAAATAACGGCAATGTGTTACTGGCTGTAAATGTTAACATTTGGTGATAACAATAATCAGTGACGATTTATAATTCATCCCATATATAACGAACAAATAAATAAGATACTGAATTAAGATATGATTTATAAAGTAAAACCTCGCACACAACAATATGCTATTTTTGTTTATTAATGTCTGTATATGTTTGCATTGCTCGCCGACAGAGCCCAGGACACCATGCGGGTTTTCTGAACACAAAGACCGGCGTGACAAAGTGAGCGACATGATCACAGCAATATGGACGTGTTTTGACATCAATCTGTAGTTGTCAACATGAAATAATAATTCCAATCTCCCATTTTCAATCTCGCTCCCTTCGCGCATGGCTGGGCGCATTCAGTGTCGCGTGACCCAGTGACACGGGATGGGGATTGGCCAATTCATAATTAATCTACTCAAAAAATAAGGTGTGCCTTCATTCATTTAGTCCGCTGTTATGGGCAGAAAACTCCAATTATAATATTGTCCATCACAGTTTGATAAACACGCCGGCCTTTAATAAAAGATTTTTTGGGGGATGAAATTCCGTGATTCTCGTCAAGAAAATCTAGGTTCCAAATGAAATTATCAAATTAACTTGTTTTAACGAACATTTTATGAAAATTCGGCTTTTGAAAAATATGCCATCTTTGCTTAAATTCAAACAAGATTTGCATCTAAAACAAAATATATCGGTCTTGTCTTTGCATTTTATATGCAAGCACTGGTTCAAAAATATTACAGACAGCTGTATGAATGACGTGACCATATGGAATGTGAAAACGTACAACGATATTAGCCTACTAAACCGCACTTTAATGCATTATAATGCAAGTTTAAAGAAAACCTTTTAATTTCCGACGCAAACAGGGAAAAATAACAGGGTCATTATATTATAGGCACATTTTTAATTTTTTAGCATCTTCGATCAATGGAATGTTGAATTTCACAATATTCGAAATGGAATGAAACATGGTAGGCCCTACATGTGGAAGAGCTATATAACCACGAAATATACTCGTTTTGATCCCGTTCTCCAGTGACATTTGATGATGGAAACAGATAGCGATAAATAAATCCCCTTCCAAATTACTGTAAATAGTCAATAAATTAATTTGTTCTATATTTACATATAAATTCACAACCAGCGGAATGTTGACAAGTAAGTTTGTTTTTAAATGCGAATAAATATCAGGCTAACAGCAGTAGTAAAATGACGTTAGGAATATCAAGTGAATCGTTGAAAACATAATCACAAACATATCAGAAGCAGATTGAAATATCAATGACAAAAACTTATCCAATAATATACACTATGTTATCCAATTAATACTTTTAATTGAAATTTCAAATGAATCTTATTCTGGAACTTACGTTTTGCAGCTTGCGACGTTGCGTCCGAAACGAAGTCCGATGGTTTCGGACGCAACGTCGCAAGTCGCAAAACGTAGGTTGCAGAATAAGATTTATTTGATATTTCATCTTACGCTACTGGACGACTGAGAACATTTCAATACTTTTAATGGTTCCCCCCTCAAAACAAATCAACTCGATCGTGGATGATTGGTGAAATCTACAACACGTAGGTGGCTATTATGCATTTTGGTGTAAAGTGATCATCAAACGAGGTAATTAAATGCGGTTTAACCCGAAACAGAAACATAATGATATTGCCAGCTGGATAAACTGTTTTTTTTTTCATTCTGGTGTTTTTTTTCTCTCTCGCGTGCGTCTTTCGGCATGTGTCACTCGCTTGACTACAAAACCCACAGAAATCAATGGCAATACAAAATGCTGCCACGACGGATTATTGATATCATTAAGTTTAATAGCACACTTTTCTCGACTGGAATGCATATCGATTGGACTTAGTGGGCACTGTTTGTTCCTGATATAGGGATGAGGTATTTTCTACCCGTTTTGAGATCATGTGGAATGTTGCGATTCTAAATTATCTTATGATTTCTTTAACCTTTCGTTGTTGAAAACTGACTTTTTCCTTTTTTCGCATTATTAAAATTTTTGGAAGATGTTGTGGAAATAAGTTCTTCTTTTTTCAGTCTTGAACCACGCAAGACGAGTAAATATATCTTTTGTTCTGTCAAACTATTTTGTTCTCAATTCTTAGGATATAAATTTTCCAACAAAAACCCCTCAAAACATGAACTTCAATTTCGGTGTGAAATCGATCGAAAACGGATTAAATCACATACAGAAAAAGATGCAACCACATTCGTCTTACGTGTTGATTTTTTTTTTGGGACCCTATTAGAGATGGCATACGCTGTGATTCTGTACCTAACCGATCACTTTCCCGGTACATACGAGCAAAATGATTTTGTGCATATATTCGAACACAGAGCAAAGAACAGAATAAAAACCTAAAACTGTCTTTAAAAGACACATGTTTATATAATTATATCTTTTTTCTCCTTTTGTGCAAAAATATTGATCTTCTGATAACAAAACGACGGTAGGTTATTGTTACTCGTGGCTTTTGTGTGTTATTCTACTCACGGCTGTGCAGGCAGTTGTTGGAGCAGGATGACCTGTCTGTTCTCAGACGGGTGCCTTTTGTTGATGTGTCGTGTCAGCCCTGGAGAACTGGTGAAGTTGCAGGAGCAATACTTGCACGGGTAGATCTCACTGGAGTGGTGTAGACGCACGTGCTGCTCCAACGCCATCTTGTTTTGGTAGGAGCCGCCACACACGTCACAGGTGATCTCCTTAGGGCCCACGGCGTGAGTCAGGACATGCTTGGCCCGGCTGGTTAGGCTGCTGAACGTCTGACCACAGTACTGACATGGATAGGTGTCCTCCTCACCATGATGTTGCATGTGCTTACGGAGGTTGGCCGGACGACGGAATTTCTTCCCGCACTGATCGCACTCGTACTGCCCCTCCTCGTTGGGCGTGGCTCGACCGGGGCTAGGGGTGCTGCGACTGCTGTCACTTCCGGTGCTGGTCAGGTCATCCTTGATGAGGGTCAGTGACTCGTCCGACTGCTCGGTCCGATGGGTCACCTCGAAGGTCTTGCTACCGTCCGGTTTGGCCGGGGATGCAGGCAGGATGCGGGGAGAGTTGGGTGTGGATCGGCTATTGGGTCGAGGTTTGTGCCATCTCCGGTGGGATGCCAGATTAGCTGGGCAGTTGAACACCTTGTCGCATTCGGGACAGCGGTACTCAACGTGCACGATACGGGAACACTTATGTTGGGCTAGGGAAAAGGGGTCAGGGTACTGCTCTTTACACAGCTGGCAGACGAAATCCCCGCCAAGGCTGTTATCTACCCCTTTGTCACCGTTGCATGCTCCATTTACACCCTTGCCATTGTCATTATCTGGGCCCCCATCGGTTGGAACATCACCACGGATGATGGTACCATGGACAGGAGAAGTGTTGTCTTCGTCAAAGTTGAGTTTACGGGCGGCTTTGGGTTTCTTGGCCTTGTGCTGTTTTCGCTCGGTTTCCTCCGAGAGGGGTCTCTTTATTCGGAGAGGTGGTGGGACACCAGAGGGTAGTCTCCGGGGCGGTGTGGTGGGAGTCACGGTGAATGGCCACAGTGTTTTATCCCTCTCGGTGTTCAGTGATGCTGGCGATGAAGAGCTGAAGGTGAGTGGCGATGGGTAGGAGCAGGTGTTCAAATGGGGAGAACTGACAGGGGAGTAGACAGACTCCCGGTCAAATCGAAAGGCCGGACTTCCTTTGACCAGCAGCGTGACTGGGCTGTGACCATAACCCGAGTCGGGGGAGTTGAAGGGTTTGGTGTAGCCATCCATGCCATCATTCTCGATGTAGGCATCGTCTTGATCTTCATCGGAGCAACGAGAGCGATAGGAGACGGATCCTGATTTCTTGTTTCTCTTCACCAGGAACCCCCTCGGCATCTTCTCGCTTGAACAGGGGGCACCCGCAGACTTGCAATACGAACCGCCACCGTATCGTCAAACTGCGTGCCGATATAGATGCCAGTGCAGGAAGACAACAAAAAAAATCTCAGTTGCCGCCAAGTGTGAAATCGGACGGGTAAGCGGGTGATGGGAGATATCAGCAGAGGGGTCCGCTACCAGACACGGGCCTCATCATCAGAAACCACGATAAACGGAGATCACAGATTCCTCCTTAAAAATGCATGGGAAGGACCACAGGTGGCGATAACACGTCTGACTTCCCGTTTTCATGTGCCAGAATGCGGGCATTAGCCGGCGTTTTGCACAATTAAATGTGACGCGCAAATACTGTCACTCGGTCGACGAGATGCTAACAAGTCAGCAAGCCTTCTGGTTGGCTCGTGGAGCAGGCAACGGACCAGTGAATTCCGTCATGGGCGCTTATCGTTAAACTGTCGTCTGCGAAAGTCTCCAAGTCCCCGCCCCCTTTTTTTCTGCCGTCGGCACGGGCCAGCTTTTAGCGCCGCGCGCGGGGCTCTAGAGCCGGCCGCTTTGCCAGGCAGCTGCAATCTCACCGCACGTTCCCTGGTTTGCATGTGAGGTACAGTTAGCTGGCTCCTCCTTTGTTTGATCGTGAGGGGGCACTATACGCCGCGCCACTGCACGGACACGCGTCCGTTCTTTGTTTTCAGCTGGGCAGATTGGATTGTAATCGCGTACTGGATGACGGGCCTCAACACAGCGCATGTACCAACTAATGAGACAGCCACCCTGCGGCGAAGCGATTATTCCTCGGACCCATTCGCCGGAGTTGAGATTCTCCCGAGACAAAAAAATGAGCAAAGAAAGAAAAAAAAAGGGGAAGAAATCTGCTCCTCCTGGGCCAAATCTCAGCCGGTTTTCTTTGTTCTCATGCTACGGTGATCATCGAAATTCTTGCAGTGGTATAAAATTTTATGAAATAAGAGGCTTGATAATCGATGGCGTATAGGCTTATTATGCGGATGCGAGGCTTGCAAGGGGCCAAGGGAGGTGACGGCATTATATGTGATACATCACCGGCCCACGAGAACCGGTCCGGAAACTCAGCGTGCAACCACCACCATCCCACATACCGGGTTCTGATTGGAAAACATCTTCCCAGATAATTATTTTTCCTGATGTTAGCCAATCAGTGGATTTTTTAAGCCTAGGGCGCTCAGGCGTGTAACAAGAATGTTTCATTTCGGTGTTGCAGCATAAAAAAGACCAGAAATTATCTGGTCGGGAATGTTTCCTAGAGCGGTTACGCCACGACTGTTAAGCCTTCCTATTGAAAGGAAAGCTTCTAATTATATGCCGGTAATTAAATAGCGGGAAAAGTCCAATTTAAAAGGAACGAGAAAATCCCCTGTTTTAATGAGACCATTATCGGACATGCTTCGCAAAGCATTGTCATTTAAAAATGCAAAACATGCAGGTTAACAGAACAGGTGTAGTTTGAAATTGAAACAAAAAATCCCCTCAGTATACCCGAGTGTTATTAAACACGTTAACTGGCTAGGCCGGGAAGTGTTTTAGGTGAGAATTGAAGTGACGTCATGATGACGTCATCACATGTTACAGAGTTATTTCAAACAGCCGAAACATCTGTAGTTTTGTCCGCGTGACAAACACGGTTCTAGTTTAAGTATATATCTGCATTTGCGTGTTTAACCTGGCTCCCGTCAGTTTATTTTATTCACTTAAAATGCAATTAGGAAACCATAATTTCGTTGGTTTTTCCGGTTTTTTTCCTCGTCATTTGAGTCGAACCCTCTTCCCCAGACACCCCCAAAATGAGCGTCCCTTCGGAACGGAAGCGAATCATTTACGTGTTAACGAGGCAGTTGTGTATAAGTATACAGTTCAAATACCAACTGGTTTTAGCACTGATGCACTTCAACATCAAATCAACCTCTTCCGGATCAGCATATTTTACCGAATTAAATCGCAAGAGTGGTGAGCGAACAACTGCTTAATTAAGCCTGTATATTCACAAAGTTGCTGTTGTTTTCGTTATTGTTTTGCTTTGTTCCATTTTCACTAAAATGTTTCGCAATTCCACCGAGTCCTCGTCTGCACACACGTAGTGGCAAGCCGGGTTTGTTTTGATTTTTGCGGTGATGTTTCAATCTGCATGCGCAATCAAAAGATAATATCGGAAATCCTCTAAAGTCACGAGAGAAAAGGACGTGGTCCGAATCGTGCTTTGTGATGTTTCGATTTGTTGGCTGTGTAATTAACGGACCAGTTCAAGTTTCGACAATGGAATCGATAATGATCACTTCAGAGTCACTCGTTGAGCAGTCAGGACGTAAATAGGCAACGTTTAGCCTTGGTGAACCACTACAGCGCCTAACGAGTTATTTTTCGACTGTGGAGCGATATCGAACAAAGGGAGGCCATCGTCCGTTACAACTTCTTTGATTTGTTTGTACGATTGAAGACAGATATTAATCATGCTGACGTCACGCTTTGTTAAGATGTGCGCTTTCCTATATAAACGGAGCCAAGTGAGGAACGAGAGCCGCCAAGCTCCTATAAGAAAGCGCACATGTAAACAAAGCATGACGTAATTATGTCTCATGTCTATATTGCATTTAGAAATATTTATACCATTCTGTGTATTTTTCGTTTGTTCTTTGCTTGAGAAAAAAATAATTCTAAAACACCGTTAATTTGTTTAAAAAATATTCATGATTAACGCCGTATGCCATCCAATTACGACAATACCTTCATGTTGACAAAAAAGTAATGCTTGAGAGGGTCCAGCTTGCAAATGTGAAACGATTGTTGAAGTCTCATACTATAATGGTCCGAATACATCATACAAAAAATCCGAGATTCAAGTTAGTACAGATGATGCAAAGAGAAAGAGAGGAGTAAAGGACATTGATAAAAAAAAAATCCGCCACTTAGACAAGATTATAGGTCAGCAGCTGGGGGCACGTCAACAGGCGGTGTTATACCGGCATCTCCCGGCCCAGCCCCATTGAGATACTCCAGCTAAACGGAGGTCCAACAACAACATGTCGAGTTAATTTAGCTGTCAAAATGAAGGGAGAATCATCACACAACGCGGGCCGGGCTATTGAGGAGGTTTTTTTTTACCTCTATGATGGAATGACAATGGATGAGCAAGAGGGAGGCTTCTTGGTTTCTATGGTGATGGTGTCATCACTTGGGTCATTAATCTCCAGCTTCGTGTTGACACGGGATGAGACCCTTCCTGCTTGCGGCTTATTACTTGTTAAAGGGAGTTCGTCTATAACAAGAAAAAAAGACGAGGAAGAATATTTATACCTGGCCGAAGAAAATGGAGTCGAAAATGAAGTCTAAAATCGCCGGGGATATAGCATCCACCGAATCGGTGCTACGATTTACAGTTACGTTTTGGGAATTTTACTGTAACTACCTTGTGCTTGCGCCGTATAAAGAACGTATTTACACTGAACGAATCGACTTGGGTAAAGGTTGGCCTGCAAGAAATCATTTTGACGTAATCTATATCTTCCTTCTACATGTATATGGCATAGTTTTGACACCAGGGATGGGTAGATTTTGCTGGCCCATTGCAAATATTCCTTGCACGAAGTGTTAGTGAAAGTTCGTTCATTCCAACCTATAGGAATTATTGGCAAGAATGGTGTTTGACAGCCTCAAAATGATTGCAGCGACATAGGAAACACAACTCTGGCCCAATCTTTCCAGAAAATCCGAAGCCAGTTTTATCCTTTCACTTCTCGGATAAAAAAATATATATAATCCGAGATGAGCAAAACCTCTCCCGTGCATACAGTCCCCTCATCTTCTCAGACGGAGTATTTAGAGGACGTTTTTTCAAGAGGTTGTCTGCATTACATTTTGAAAGTGGATTTTCTTCCACTCAGGAAAGGCAATCAGAAATCTCCCAGCCTGACTCTCTATATTTTGTTGCATTTATTCGTTTTCTTAATTTGCCTCCGTGGGCAGAGGTGAGACTGATTTATGTCAAGCCTATCACCAAGTTAAAAATCTGAATGGCAGGCTGAAAATGAATGCCCCTCATTCGAAAATAGAAAACAAAAACAATGATTATTTTTATATTTATTTCCGATAACGACCTAGCAAAATATACGCACCGCGACTGGTTTTGCAGTCGTTTTTTATGTGTCGTGTTGTATGGGTTCTGATGCAACGAATATTTCAAACCGTATCTTTTTGTATAGCAATGGGTGAGGTTTAGTAAGTGCTTCCTTGATAATTTCAATATATTTTCCGAGAAAAAAAATCAATTCAACAAAAAAGTTTCAAGAATGATTCGTAGCATCGAAAAAAGAGGGTTATTTCAGGCAAGCATATATTTTACTTAGTTGTCTGCTTTCACTAAGATATGTTTCCGTCGCTCCTTCAAAGGGGGTGGGGTTGGCCCTATACCCCTCCCAATACCAGTCACTTGTCTTTGTTCTCATTATCAATCATCTTAAAAAACGTAGCCGTGTCCATGACGCTCGATGTGCTCTATCGCCTTTTTCTTTCAAACATGAAATGACAGTCGGCTTTGTCACAAAATGCTTAGGCGTTTTATTTTTTTTGGCATCCGCTCGCTATAAAATGTCAAACGGCCCTGATATTTCGGAGGATCATTAAATCTTCTAATTCAAAGAAAGGGGTTATTATTGCTATTGGCGGAATAATTAATGAGCTTTTGGAAACGATATGTTCAGAAGAGCGCACGCCCCACATCCCACATAAAAGGAGCGGTCTGTACTGGCTTAATTAGCATACAGCTGTCCATGCGCCGTTATATACGGGCTCAAGCGATAATCGCTTCATTATAAAGTGCACGGTGCGAGAAATGCATGCACGTGTTGCTCGAATGGCATTGAGACAATGTATAACCGTCGTACGAAATGCACAACACAGACGATAACTGAGACAACTTAATCATTTTGCGATCTGAGATCGAATTGTGTGTACAATGTTATTTTGCTGAATATATTTTCATCAGTAGTTTGTCTCGGGGCGTTTCCCCCAAAGTTATAAAATATTCATAAATCATTTGAGGTCTATTTGGAATTCCGTGCGCCTCCACATGAATACATTAGCCTACATACAGGATACATCAACTCATTGAGCTGATCTGACAACCGAAATCGAACAATTTCAATTTATTAAAAACAAAAATCAACTGACAAACGAATAACCAAGATCAAAGAATGTTCTTACTTTGTCTGAAATTTTTTAACGACCCAAAAAGAGGTTGAAAGGGAAAAAGTCTACTTCCCCTTGAAAATCATTTTATCACATAATTTCCTTGTCCATCATGTCCTGGGCCGACTTCTAAAATGTATAAATTCTTCCAATTGGTTAAACAAATGCTTCCAAATTTTAGGCCCTTCATTTGCATTTATCCCAATTACAAAGTAACCGACCGAATTGTTATCAAAACGCTTACTGGCACTAAATACCCCGTGAAATTATTCCGCCTGGTTTGCTGTCCAAAACAAAATTTAGGGCCTATACTAGGTCATTCCAATTAACGACTAGTCATTTGACTGATTTTGGACGAAATCTTTTTTCGTGATCAAAACATTGTGCATGGTTTTCCACTGTTTTCTCGAAAAGTGTAAGATCCAGTGCGCTGAAACTTCAACAGGTTAAGTTTTGAACCTTCTTTGGATTTTGAGTGCTGCCCGGTATTGGAAACGAAAAAAAATGCATGAAAAGCAAAAAATGAACTTATATGCCTTTAAAAAAAGGCAGGGTAGCGTGCGAGATGTATCCGGGGTATCAGATGTTGGCTAAAACATGCTAAAATAATCGCTTAGCTGTATTTTTTTCAGTGAACTTGAAGGTCACACGTACCCTAAACCAAAGTTGTGCTGAACAAGTTTGCCAGTCAGTAGGCCTAAACAAAGAAAGAGAGCCGCTACGGCATTAGGCACGGCCCAGGCCCGAAGCCGGGTCACCTACGCGTACTGCGTACGCCGGCCGATCGGCAGTGCAACAGTACACCGCGAACATCACACTTCAGGCAACTTCTGTATAACACGGTGTAAACTTTTATGACATATTACGGTTTTAATACCAGTTGCTTTGTTTTATTACTTCGGGGAGTGTGAGATTTTGGTGAGGGGACGACTGGATTTGGCACATGGTATCGTGAGACCTCGGGGTTTTCATAATTCACAGTGAACTTTTGAAATTGCGTGGGACTGTAACACCATGAACAAAATGCCCCCCCCCCCCAAAAAAAGGGGAGGGACACATTGGTAAGATGCAAACAAACCGGATGAAGGAACCCGCAAAACACACAATCCTTAGCCCTAAAAGGGCCAGGTTATTTTGACCATCTCACAGCCGGGGGGGGGGGGGGGGGGGGGGGGATTCCCCCCCCCCCCCCAGATTTCGGCCTTCGAGTGACGAAAAATTATGAAACTCGGTACATGCATAGAACAACTTAATACAAACATACCCAATAAATTTCATGACTATAGGTTAAAGGGTTTAGGAATTATGGCTAATTAATTATTCATATGCACCAATGGTAATTCTGCTTTGTGTACACTACATATGGGGAAATGATTCAGTTTTCACGGCGCTTAGCGCCGAAAAAATTTCGCTGCGCGGCAACCATTATCGGAATTTTATGTTTTTTGGTATCAAGAGATGTTCAAAACTCGAGGCTAAAATGTCAGAAAAGCTCGGGTCGGGATTATTTTTTTTTGCAGGGGTATCGCGGAAAAAGTTGAGCGGGGAAGGGGGGCGGATTTCGCCAGCCCTTTTATGGTTAAGGCTTAATTCATTTGTTTTTCCATTAATAAAACAAAGGTACGGATGGGCTTGAGGTAGTATCCCACCCTATCCTCACCCCCTAAAAATTGCTAGCGCTGAAAACAAAATCCCAGAAAAAAAACCTACAAAATTCCCGTATTGAGCAAAGGCTTATTATATTGTCTTTCGAATGTTTTTACTTTTTCTTTAATTTTTTTTGTTGGATCTGTACATGTATTGTGTGTACTTTTGGATGCGACTTACTTTAAAAAAAAATGTATACTACATAATGGTGTAGAAATCTCTGTCATTTTAATATACAACAATTTTATAATTTTTGTAAATAAAACTGCAATTCGGCTTTTGGCCGTGAAGGATTAATGAAATAAACCATGAATAATAATAATAATTGTCACATTATGTCACATTCCCCAGCCCCAATTTCTTTTCAGCTTTTTCAACCTTCAAATTCCCCGCAAATTTTCTAAAATCCGGTGTTCAAGATTAATCAAGAATTTTCAAAAAATTAATTTAAAAAAAACCCATGAACAAGTTCATTACTTGTATTTTTCAAAATTTAAGATAAAAAAAGTTTTGCGTTTTTGACCTCAGACTGATAAGAGTGTTGTTTGCCAATACAAGTCCACAACGGAAACCGTCTATAAGAATTTAATAACAAAATGGGGTGCTGCGTAGCACTAGTGAAGCGGTATTAAATGAAAATATAAATTTAACTATAGTCATGGAGCTGTTTTATAGCTCCATGGTATAGTGCTCACCAGAATTTGTAGCGCCGATAAGAATTTTTGTTGGTGACATGCGTCCGTCATCGAGGGAGATTTCCCCTCGTTAAATAAATTATTTACACAGCGCCCTCAATATAATGTTATTGCATGCTGCACTATCAAGTCGATCGAGTCAAGGCCTTTCCGGTTCGCGGTCAACTTGCGGACAAAAAAAAAGGTGGTTATTTTTGAATGGTATAAATTTATAACATTAAATTTTATTGACAAGACAGCACTAACCGTACGACATTAATCTCAAAGATCTTGTGGTAGGGTTATAGGAACTGACCATAGCACATTAGCAGCTGGCTTTTAAGTTTTAGTTTTAGCAGACGACACGGACGTGTCAACTGTCATGTCAGACACACAAAGTACAGCATGTACAGCCAGCCTGAGCGGACATAAGTTGATTTTGAGTAAATTGAATATCGTGACTAGTTAACCTGTTAACTGTGGGAGATATTTAGGAAAGAATTTGCAACCTGACGCCACTTTTTTCTTTAAATATCATCTCAATAAGGGTCAGTCATTGCAAAAATGTTGAGAAGACACGGATGTACATGATCTGGGACTGAGAAACATTTCTAATTTTGGAAATACTTTGAAAATTGTCCTGACTCTCCATAGACTTTGTACACATTGAACCGCTGAAGTGGCGTCATTGAACCGCTGAAGTGGTGTCAGGATGCAACATTCTTTCCGTAATTGGCATGGCAGTGAGTTTCTCCAAAAAGGCAAAACAGATTGCAGTATTTTTCTCGGGGGTTACAGGTCATGTACATTCGACTTTGATTTCTCTGGTTATTTTCCAGGTAAGTATCCATGGTATTTTCCATAGTGATTATCAATTGAAAATAGAGCTGTGCATCGGAACCGGGTACCCGAGTACCCGACCGTTAATTTCAGGAACCGGTTCCAGATTATGGAATCGAGTGCCCGTAACCAATTTTGCAAATTACTTTACTTCTCAATCTATGAACAAGAAATGTTTCGAATGTCAGTGGGAAACTTTCAAAATGAAAAACAGGATACATGGAAAATCAAAACCAATTTCACATTTTGTGATGCTTGCGAAAGTTGCAGTTTTCACCACATAGCTAAAGAGCTCACTGTATACACCCTATCAAGCCGTAATTGCCAAACCAATGTGGTAGTATTATCATGCGGACCTTTATGAACAATTGGGGAGTCAGGTTGGCGTAGCGGTACTTTCCTCGCCTTCCACCGCTGTGACCCGGGTTCGAATCCCGCCTGGGCCAATATGTGGATTGGGTTTTCAGTCCCTGCCTGATTCCGTGGGTTTTCCCCAGAATATTCTTCTGGGGTTTTTCTCCCACCTCTAAAACTGTAACTTCTTCTCATTGTCTTCTCTCCACAGGTTTCTTCAGGCTTGCGAGCTACAGTGCCTAGGGCGCTTTTGAGGAATCTTTGGTTTCATTACCAGAAATGATTAATAATAATAATAATAATAATAACAGCAACTTCCCAGATTGGAATTTTTGGGGTGGTTAGGGTTAACGGGTACCCGGGTACCCCGGTACCCATATTTTTTTCAATAGGGTACCCGGTTCCTGTACTACCCGTAAGTCCACAACCCTAATTGAAAAACTTCCCAAAGTCTTCAAAACAACTTTTCCCCACATGTATATTACCACAGTGTGTCTTACAGGCAATTTTTTGAACCACATCAGATTGGGGGTACGCTGTACCCTCGCCCCATAAATGGCTCAAAATACCGGACTTCCTCCATATATATGCAAACCACTCACCAATGCATGCTAAAATCCTGAAAAGTTGCATTTCATGAATTTGAAGTCTAGACGAATTTCCCCCCTTTTTGATATTCGCTATGGAAGCTGCCCCCCTGGTTAATAACGAGGAAAAATTTATTTCTGTGTCTGTCGATGTCTAACGTATCTACATCCTGTATTTGAAATGGTTTATTACCATTGGACCAATAGCAGCCGAAAGCTGAATTGTGGTACAATTTAATAGAAACATCATAAAAGTTGCACACAGGCCCTACTAAAAAACAGAGGACATTAGCAATGTCTTTGATCTTTTAATTTCACCTGGGAAATCAGCCAGGTAAGTAGTTTCCATAGTGAATATGAGGTTAAAAACGAATTTTCAAATTCGGGAAAGAAACACGACTTTTGAGGCTTTTTAGCAAACATTTGTGTGTTGCTTGCAATATGGAGGAAGTCCAGTATTAGAGAGGCGTATGGGGGGGGGGGGGCTATGCTGTATTTTGCATATCGCAGCAAATATTCGGGCCACTAGTGGGCTAGCTAGGCTTGGAGGATCCGTTCTGGGTGTAGACCAGTAACTAGGCCCCAAATTGCCTTGTTGTTTTTCTCTTCATAGTTCATACTCGGAGAGAGTTGTGTGGCTCCTTTTCAGAGTTGATAGATTCGAATTGAAGGGTCCCAGTACTTAGGTATGCACTTGTCTTAATACTTCAGTTAAAATTTGGATTGGACCTGCAAATCGCTGTTGTATTTTGCAATGTAGTGGGGGGGGGGGGATTTTTCAAAAGATGATGGACTTCAGGACTAGTGCTTTCAGAGGTGATAATCTGTGGAGGGAAAAATTACCCAAAAGTCATCAGTCAAACCCCTCCCCCCCCCCCCCCCCCTCCCCTCCCCAAAAAACAAATGTAAAAATTGAGCATCGATCTTGTCGGAAAGATTGTTGTCGATTCGGCCGACACTGGATGTGGATGTGTACAAAATTTATGGGGAGTCTTGAAAGTTTTTGGGTTCATTTATTTGGAAAGAATGTTGCATCTTGAGGCCACTTCAGCGGTTGTGTACAAAGTCTATGGAGAATCAAGAAAAATTTCTAAAGTAAATTTCTAAAGTAGAAAGTATTTTCTAACAAAATTGGAGATGTTTCTCAGTCCCAGATTCATGTCTTTTCGTCATTGTTGCAATGACTGACCTTCATTGGGATGATATATGAAGAAAATACCAGCGTCAGGTTGTAACATTCTTTCCATTTGTTTTGCTTAGTACTGTGCAGTCACATGCTGATGTCTTTAATTAGCTATTCAATCACACATACTGTGAGATTTATTATTGAATCTAGCATTTGTTTCTACATTTTTTCTCTCGACACAGCTTGGTGTGTTTTGCAGATCATTGGTTTCCATGAGGCAATTGTAAGGCCACAATGTCAACTGCACAAGGTGAGTGGGCAATTTATGTCCCAATTAGTCTGAAAATTTGGGACTCTCATACTGTGTGTATGTGAGAGTCCTAAATTGAAATTTTGAAATATGAAATTTTGACTCCTTTGAAATCCAGTGCCTTTTAGTTACCACTTTATGGGTTGAACGTTCACAATGCACACGTAGCCAGTGAGTCAGTATTTCATAGTCCTAAATTCAAACTACACCGGCACAGCTGCATTCTGCGCGACGTCTTGCATTACTTGTGACGCGCGCGCCAATCTCCATGTAAGGAGTTGTTTACGACTTGGGCACTACCATATAATAGCTACAGGGGTGTTTTCAAAAACATGAAGTAAACTTGTTGAAAAAAATCGTTGGAAATTTATAATTTTTGACTTGTTTTGACTTTTGGACCGAAAAGTTTTGAATTTTTTGACCGAAAAGGTATTTATGAATGGTTTCGGCTCGGGTTATTATCAGCATCCAGACTCCAACCGGTCTTAAACAGAGTGTTTAAAACTGGCCAAGCATACATTTATTCCCTTATTTAGTATCAAGCATGGTTTGAAATCATTTTGCCTAGTATGCTGAGACTAGGAGGAATGGGAGACGCTTGAGATGATTGGTGGCAGCAAACATCATATTTTTCAACTTTTGCACATGGTGTCTATTACCTTTAATTAACAGATATCAATTTTACTGTAGCCCGCATTAATTTTGTTATAATTCATGATATTTGTTTATGGGAGCTTTGTTTCTTTATTAACAAATCTCACTTTGACAGTGGGAAACATTTCATACTTTGTTTGTGATAAAGGTGAATTGTTCGTGATTGGCGTGGATGTGGGCGGGACCAACACCGATGCTGTTTGTTTGCAAGGAAGTCATGTCGTTGCCTCCAGTAAGGTGCCAACTACCGAGAACGTCACCGATGGATTGAAGCAGGCGCTGTCCAATGTTATTACCGAGTCAAGGCAGAGCTTGGGTGAGTTGCGACCAGCAGGATTCTCATTCTTGATGTGAAATTGTCAGCTGGAAACGCATCATTGTTGAGTTTGGCCTTATCAAAAAAGATACAATTTTTTTTGGGCTGAAGTTTTTGCACATTAAGAATTTATGTTGCCTTTGTATGCAGCATATTTTGGCTGGTAATTTTCATTTAAAAACAAAAAGAATTATCTTACATAGAGGCCACTAGAGGCCTGCACTTTTTTACCGTGGTTCATTATTGCTGTTTTTGTTTTGGTTTGTTACTGTTTCCAATTTGCAGGTAGAGATGTTCCTGTTAGCCGCATCAACATCGGCACCACGCATTTTGTCAATGCCGTCATCCAGAGGAAGGGCCTGACACCGGTTTCGGTCATGAGGCTTTGTGGCACATCCTCCCGCCTGATGGAACCATTTATTGACTTCCCATTGGATCTCAAGCAGGTTGGAGTCCAAGTACACTAAAGGCTAAAGATCAAACTTAATTAGAAGAGTTTCATTTGCTTTTACTGTAATTTTCAGATATGGATGGATTTGGGGGTTAGTATTTTATAGCGAATATTGTTACACTGACCTGTTTAAAATTTTGTGTTAATAGACGTTGGAAAAATTAAGAAAAAATGCATTTCTTGTAGTTTGGTTCCCTGACCCTACTTCAGACGAAACGGAGCAAGACATCAGGGAATTGTCATGTCAGGGAACCAGACTAGCTGGCTTGCACCTGTTCATGGATGTGTAACCGATTGCAAACAAAATGTGGACTAACTGAACATGCATGGACACATGTATGACGCGTGCAATTGGAACATTCTTTTTTTCAAAACCAAGTTGAAGTTTTGAACTCCTTAAACCTTGTAAGAATACATATTCGTTAGTAACCTTGTGTGAAAAAATGACGTTAATTGCATTTACCGTTTGTCTTTTGTGAACCTTTTTACTGCGGTACCCGATTTACCTTTTTGTCCACGAGGCGACTAAAAATTGCATAAGAGCACAATGTGTCCCCCAGAGCCATTCTTTCCATGAGATCCAGAGCTGAGACATGCGTTGCCTTGCAGGGTTGCCAAGTAGAGGGCAGAGCTGCAATTGTGTGATCAGTGAAGGACACAGTAACTATACTAAAGCCCATAGAAGATTTGCATAAACATGTGAAACAGAAAAATAAAGCTTGAGCTAAGGTTCAGTCAGTTTTAAATCTGTGTTGTCTATATTTCATGACGTCTTTATGGTACCATTTCAGCTCTTATGCAAAAGTCTGATGCCTCGTGGACAAAAACGTAAAAAGGTTCACAAAAGACAAACGGTAAATGCATTTTTTTCTCACGAGGTTACTAAAAAATATGTCATTCATTCAAGGTTTAAAAGGTTCAAAACTTGAACTTGGTTTTAAAAAAAAAATTTGCTCCTTTGCAAATTTTTTTTTCCTCAGCCTGTATGAGATTCATTAGACTTTGTGTAGGCTTTGGAGATTTGAAACTGCAGCCCAATTGTCTCTGGCCTGTATAATCTATATGAGATACAGATTGCAGTATGCATATAGGCTACAGGAAGTTAGACAAGGACTAGTTGCTTTCTCCCTATTAAAATGTCCATTCTATTTAGATTGTGTGTGCCTCGATTCATATGGTGAGTGGTGGGTACCAGTACAACGGGGAAGAGATCACCCCATTGGACGAAGACGAGATCATTGGCTGCATCCAAACCATCCGAGCCAATGGCATCAACAATGTGGTTGTTTGTGGCATCTTTTCTCCAGTGAATCCTGCTCAAGAGTTGAAGGTTTGTCGTTGCCACACATATCCAAGGTTACTGGGATGGTTTTCCATTTCTTCTGCTATGCCAGAAAGCATTTGAATTTCATTCCTTGATTTCTTTCTATTACAAACATACTTAGTATAGACCCGTTATATCTTGGTGATCATTTATCTACGGGCCCAGTTCCTGTAAGGGAACAAAACCCACTTTAAAATTATTTGACCTACCAAACTAGTTGGCGACATTAAGAACATGCAGGTATGTCATACATAAAGGGCAAGGTTTTGAATTTTTGAGGGAAATTTGGGAAAAAATGTTGCAACCTGACTCCACTACAGCGGTTAGGTACAAAGTCTATGGAGAGTCAAGAATATTTCAGAAGTATTTCCTAACAAAATTGGAAATGTTTCTCAGTCCCAGATTCATGTCTTATCATGACTGACCTTCACTGAGATGATATATGGAGAAAAATATCTTGCAACATTTTTCCGAAAATTGGAGGGACAATGACAATGACAAAACCAAAACGCAACACAAAAATAAAAACGGCGATCACCGCACGACGTACCGGTACTGTGAACGCGCAAGGCGTGCTGAACATGCTGAATTACAGGGCACCAACCGTAAACGGCGTAGAAATACCGTAATTTCTACCCAAAGAAACTGTTCAAAACATTACAAAAAAATGTTGTTATATTGAGAGAAGTCTGCTTTAGGTTGAAAAGGTCATGTTTTTTAGTAATAAAAAAACACCCTTGACTCTAATTTGCTCGAAACTTAACACGATTATCTACATCTTTCCTGCCACAAAGGTTGCCGAGCTGTTTAGCGCCCACCACCCGTCGGCCAGTGTCACCCTATCCCACCAGGTGGGCCAACTGAGCCTCCTGGAGCGGGAGAATGCTTCTGTACTCAACGAGTGTCTCAAGCCCTTGTGTGCCCGGACTGTGGCCACGTTTGCCCACACCCTGGCAGAGCTGGGCCTGAATTGCCCGTTCTTCCTGACCCAGAATGACGGCACAGTAATCAGGTAACGTTGCCCTCAGTCTTACAGTTTACAAATATTGACTGCTTCAAGTAGTTTGGTTAAACTACCTCCCAAGGTGATCCATGAAGTGGAACGTACCATATAGCACCCTGTTATGCATATACACACAAACCTCTGGTTGCTACGATGGTTTGTATGTACTACTTTTTGCAGCAGTTGTGTAGTCTTTTTGGCTGTGGCACAGCAAGTAAGTAAAAACAGTGAGTGCCATGTGACTTCCTCTCGGCCAATCGAGATACAGAATCTGTGGGTGAGGTGTTATAAAAATGGAGTTGTTACATCGTGTGCTTGGATACTGTAATTTCATTGGTATAAAATGGCCACGTGTCTGGACAATAAAAATGCATGTCACACACTGAGGGTGATATCGCACTGCGTTCATTGCATGCGTTGCGCACGCTTGTGGAACCTTTTGCGCAGTGAGCAATGCCAAATGCTCAGTTTCATCTCTGGCAGGACCTCAAAACCTTCAGTTATCAAAGGTATAATTATTGTATATAGTTCATAACCAAAAGAGTAGTCAAGCACAAATAGTGATTTGAGTGTTATAATAATAATAAAAAAAAGCTTGAAGTAACTTAATTTTGGCAATACTACTGGTAGATGCTTAAAATCGCTCGAAATGAAAGGAAAAATGCATTAGAAGGAAGCGGTAAACTCACACAATTTTTTTTAGAAATTACAAAAATATTTTATTCTGTTGGCTACAATTTTGCCAAATAATTTTCATGTATGTTAGATACCGTGACATCACAGTGATTTAATTTATTTCTCACGCAGTAAGTTACAACCACTTACCTTTTGTAGTTGTTAATTGACATGACATAACAAAACGATTATTGCCTGCTGTGATGTGGGATTGCCTTTTTTAACCCCCTCGGGGTGCACAGCTTCGCCTCGATCGGGTGCTGTATGCCCCTCAGGTGTTTAAAACATCATATCCCACACCACAGCAGTCAACAATTGTTAATTAGTGACTGGCTAAGCCTTGGAGGCTTGGTCAAATGTTCATTCACATATGCATAGACTGTTGCAGTCTACTGTTTACCTTTTATTTCCCAGGACTGATACGAGGATTTTTTAGAAAACTTTAGAAATCTGTAGAAATCACAAAAGTTCTTTTTGTTTTTGTTTTTTTCCTTTCTAAAAATTTGGTGAACACGGTTTTAGTGTTTGCATTCAGGCTGTGCTTGAGCAGCTGCTTGCAAGCATTGTGCACAACATCATTTTGTTTGTATCACTTTAGCGTGGATTGGAACAAAAGGGTTTCAACTTGGCTTTTTCACTGAATGACATCTGAATGATGATTATTATGAGTGCATCCAAAGATGTCATAAATGCCAGCTGGAAAGAAATTGTCATTAGTGTTTAATGATCTGTTAAATGAAACCAGTAATTGCAGTCACCTCCTGCCGTATTAACCATATAATAATAAAATAGTTTATTAGAAAAACTGTGTGCGTCATGTGCTGAACAACAGGCAGTACTGCCAGTTTTACCGTGTTTTTCCCATGTTTTCCCCTTTGTCAGGCTATTTCCTGATTTCAGGATATTTTGTGTGGATCGTTCCTGTATTTTAAAACAATCCCGTTTGAAATCCGAAATTCCTGAGGTTTTACCGTCAAGTTGTTTTTACTTATAAAGGTTTATATATGTATAGAATAAAAGAAATTGGTATTTTAGGGGTGCGTTTAGGTAAATTTATGCAAACATACCATAGACCTTTTGCTGCTTTGTGGCCCTCGGTGACCCTGAAGCCCTTTGCCGATTGTTTCGTGGATTTTTCATTTTCTCCCAATCTCACCCCTGTCCATAATTAGTATACAGTCCAGGACTCAAGCAAATTGTAGGGGATGTTCCTGAAAGTTCAGGAACTCTTTATTTCTTTCCACCGAGCCTCCTTTCCAAAAGGTGATGAAAGTTGGAAATGGTTGAAATTGGGCGTTTGACCAACAAATAATGCATTCTTTTACTCCAAAACCTCCCCCACTCCACCCCCCCCCCACACCCCCACCCATCCCCACCAATGACTACACGTCTTACAGTCACATAAACTTGTGATGTACAGAGAAACTATAATTCCGATGATAACCTAGATGTTTGCCATTATGTTTCAGTTCTGATCAAGCATTGAAGTTCCCTGTACACACATTCTCTTCAGGACCAACTAACAGTATGCGGGGAGCTGCCAAACTCTCAGGTGGATTTCTTTTTAAAGATATAGTTCATCATTTGTAATTTGTGCATTTTGTTCGTTTGAAGCAACAAAAGTGTTCAAAATCTAATGAAGGATACTGAACAACAAACCTGATGAAGTTTCAGCTCAGCTTCAGCTGTATATTCTGAGAAAAAAACAGCATTCTAGGATCTCAATTTCAAATCAAAGTTGCTGAATCATGTTGAGAATTGGGCCTCAATTCAGCGTCCGAGACACGTTCTCACTGAGCCGATTGCAGCTATACGCGATGTCGCGCACTGATCCAACGAATTATAGCAACTGCGCGCGCGTGTGCGTCGTGCCAATGCTTGCGCGCGCTTTGCCGAATAACAAAACGAACTACTAATTTAAATTTTCCCACGGTGCGTCGAAAGGCCTTCTTTCGTTGATTACTTCAAAATGACAGCTTGCCAGAAAGAATAATTTCACAGGGAGTTTAGTCCCATTACTATCTTTCAACCAAGAATGTTTTTCAACAATAATTACGCCAGTTACTTTTCGGATTGCTGCAAATGATTGACCATAGCTTTAATCAGACACGCCATTTTGGTATTGTGAAAGATTGTGATTTTTTAATGATTTTATCTTCATTAGAGGCATGTAGGATCATTTGCATTTATCCTAAAAGTAACCTGCTTTTGGATTAAAGATTATACTGGTATTAAACACCCCGTGAATTTATTCCGTCTGATTTTCTGTTTATAGAAGAAATAAAATTGTTTAGCTTGTTACCAGCGATCAGTCAATTGACAGATTTTTAAAAATAATGCACGCTATGGACCAAATGGTACATTGTGATCAAAAGGTTGTCCATGTTTTTCACTGTTTTCTTGAAAAGTGTAATATCCACTGAGCTGAAACTTCAGCAGGTTGGTTTGGAACATTCTTCTTTGGAATCTGAGTGGTTTAACAAAGTACATGAAAGCAAATGCCTTTAAAGACACGTATGAACATTAGTAATTACCAGAAAACGCACACATATGGGATCTTTGCTTTTCATGCATTCTGTTCATTTCCAATAATAACACCACTCAAAATCCAAAGAAGAATGTTCAAAACCTCAGTGGATATTACACTTACCGAGAAAACACTGAAAAACCATGCACAACCAATTGATCATGATACTGACTTTTTCCCAGGTGTTGGGGACGGCATCGTTGTGGACATCGGTGGCACTTCCTCCGACGTCGGCTTCCTACAGGGCGGTTTCCCCAAGGAGGCGTCGACCAAAGTCAAAGTGGGAGGAGTCAACACCAACTTCCAGATGCCGGACGTTGTCTGCAAGGGGCTCGGAGGGGGGTCCCTCGTAAGATTCTCTGAGGCAGATGGACAAATTGTGAGTTGTTCAAAGCATTTTAGCGATATGATTGAAAATGTAGAAATGTGGATGCATTCATCTTTAAAACTATTTCTCTTTAATGATGTGCAAACCCGACCCGAAACCGAAACCAACCCGACCCAAAACCGACTTTGGGTCGGGTCAGGTCAGTTTGTCCATCTTTTCAGTCGGGTCGGGTCGGTTTCGGTTTTGCATTTTCATTTTCGGGTCAGGTTGGGTCGGTTTAGCCATCTTTTGAAAAAACCGAAATAAACCGAAATAAACCGAAATAAACCGAAACAGTTGAGACTTGAGAAATTTAGGTGATGCAATATAATTGACAGTCACTGTGTCCGCAGCCCATTGTGATGTGGCCAACGAGCGCACTATCAAGTTCCCACGGTATTAATTTCCCCAGTCGGATCGGGACTGACAGTAAAATAGATACCTTGTAACAGTTTGTTCAATAAGCGGAGTTACTCTCAATCAACCCACTGAGTATGACAGAGCGAGAGACGATGGTTTTGCAAAATAATTCATGCCACGTGGTAAGGGCAGGCACAAAAAAGTGATCACTTTGTCCAAGCCAGGTATTCGGGGTATTTTTCGGGGGGTTTTCGGGTCGGGTCGGTTCGGGTCGGTTTTACCTTATTTTTTGTCAGGTTGCGTTGGGTCGGTTTGAGGGAGTTAAGATCAGTTTTTCGGGTCGGGTCGGTTCGGGTCGGTTTTACCTTATTTTTTGTCGGGTTGCGTTGGGTCGGTTTGAGGGAGTTAAGATCGGTTTTGGTTCAGATTCAATTTATATCTCTAATGTTTCGGGTCGGTTTGGCCTGGTCAACCCGACCCGATGCACATCATTATTTCTCTTATCTTTGGAAGTTTTCATGAAAGTAGTGATGAGAGCTCTTAAAAGTGTCCAGGGGTGAAACGTTACAGTGCACAAGTGATGCATGGAAAGGCATACGGCACTGACGATATTCAAGTGAATGAAATTTGGAAGGAATTACCCTTGTCATAAGGATTTTTTTCCTTTGCATGTTCGCAAATGTATAAAACATTACAAATGATGTAAATTAAGTTCAAACAAAGGGAAACTGACTTTAAATTTTTAATTTCTTTGTTCAAATTTACAATTATTAAGTTTTATTATTCCACACACAAAAATATTTTTGATCACCGAGTACATCGAGGACAGCCCGACTACATTTTCTTTTTTATCAATTTGTTGGATGAACATTAGAAATGGCCTTTTTAATGGGACTTTAAATTATAAACTTTGGCCTGCTTCAACGATTCCTACCGTATGTTGACCGTACCTCTGCTTTTCTCCTCCAGACCTCGCTGACTGTCGGGCCGGACAGCGTCGGCTATCTGCTCAGCAAGGAAGCCAAGATCTTTGGTGGTCAGACATTGACCGCCAGCGATATCGCAGTGGCGGCCGGAATGGCCTCGTTTGGCGACCCTGCCAAGGTCGGCGGCTTGCCCAGTGACCTTGTCCAGAAAGCAGTGGACGAGATACACGATATGCTGGAAGATCTGATCGACCAGGTCAAGGTAGGTCATTAGAGGTCACATTCATGGGGTGATTGTTACGTTTTGTGGCCTAAAGGTAGAAGGAGATGAGCTATTACAGTTTTGACTGATATTGTGTGCAGTTTAACTTGTTGAATGATTACACAGAAAGTTTGAAATTATTACCTTTTCTTGTTTTTCTGTCACAGATAATGAAACACCGACAGTCACAGGTTCCTGAGAAATAAAACTTGAAACTGGAAAAATCAGATGGTACAAAAAAATCAGATCGTACGAAAAAATTGAACGAACGAATTCAAAAATGGCAACATGGTTGTGCCGGGTCCGTTTCTGATAAGGTCCAAGGAGCTTCGGGACCCAACGAGCTGACACCTTGTACTGTTTGACACAATGGCTTATTTTTTCCATTTTTCCATTTTCAAGGTTTAATTCTCAGGAACCGTTGACTTCCAAGGTTTAATTATCAGTCAAAACAGTATAACTGACCTCCTACCTTAGGCCACGAACTTATCAATCACCCCTCGTATATAAGATGCCAGCTTATTACATACAAGTACATGTAATTGATTTAATGTTTACCTTACTGATGCCGACTCCATAATGAAAAATAGTAATAATGACACTGGTATTCACTTAGACTTACCAGGTATTTTGGAAGCTGTTTCTGAGATCGAGACATTCATGATCACAGGCCCGGATCCGGGGGGGGGGGGGGGATAAAAAAAAATACAGCTCTGTCAATTTTTTTTCCCCATAGAAATTCATGAGAAAAAATGCGAAAACTACTTGTACCTATTCATTATGATACCAATAAAGGCCATCCGGTCGGGGTTTATCTCCGGTTTCCTTGGCATGAAACGACTGAGACTATTTCTATTCCCCCTGGACGGGATGCTAGTCCATCACAGGTTACTCCACAGCTAATGCTGGTACCCATTTATACTCCTGGGTGGAGAGAGGCAAGTGAGGGCGAAGTGGCTTGCCTAAGGACACAACATATAACCAGCAGCTGGATTCGAACCCCTGACCTTCTGATCATGAGTCACAAACCCTAACCACTAGGCCACACTCCCCACATATGACACCAAAGTAACAACTTTTAATTTGTGGATTCTATGACTTTTGTAAAAGGTTTCTGATCTGAAGATCAGCCAGTTTGTTATATTGTTACCATGGTTACTCTTCATCTGCGTACGCTTTATTCAAGTTTCTTGATCCATTTTGATTCCTGTTGATTTAACAAAACCACATTGGATAATCTTGTTAAAGGTAGAGTAGATTGTTTGCAGCTATCCAAATTATTGATGAAAAGCTTACTTGGTTTAAAGATAGGAATGGCACTAAACTCCCTGTGAAATGATTCCTTCTGGCATTCTGTCATTTTGAAGAAAACAATAAAAGAAGGCCATTTCCAAAGATGCGTCAAGTGCTCCGGATTATGATTTCGGGCGCAATTCCAAACATGACTTGGCAACTTTGGAATCGAAATCAAGATCCTAGATTATTGTTTTCTTGGAATATGCAGTTCATCAGATTAGTTGTTAAGCACGCGGCTTTAGATTTTTGAGCACTTTTGTCGCTTCAAACGAAAAAAAAAACCAATGTACTAATGACAAATAAGCTAGCCTACCTTTAAAATTATTTTTTACTGCATTCACTTTTCTCCCTTGGATATAGTCAAGTTCATCACAAGTCCCTGCAAGTCCATCACAAGTCCTGCAGTCCCAATTCCAATCACAAGCTATTCAAATAAGCTTTGACAAAGGCATTCCTTTGTTACTGTTCATCCACTGTTATTTGTGACTGGACTTGTGTTGGACTCGTCTACATGCCTACGTTCACCTGGCATTTGAATCCTTTAATAAACACATTCACAATCATCCATGAGAGCTGTATTCTAACTTTTTTGTCTGTACAGTTGAGTGCTGCTGACGTGCCTGTGGTCATCGTTGGTGGGGGGAGTATCTTAGTGGATGAGAAACGAGGACTGAAAGGAACGTCTAAAGTCATCAAGCCACCACATTATCAGGTTGACCTCCAATCCATGTACATTCAATATCGAATATCAAATCTAGTAAATTGTCAAAGAGTTTGAATATTTTTATGCATGTTGGTAGACTTGGCCAAGTCTGGGTTGCGCTCGGTCTGTATCTAAATGTGCCAAAGCGCATACACTGTAAATTGTACACGCCTAACCATAATGCGCCCTCATGCGTCAAATCCAGACCAACATGTTAAAAACGTACATGTACATGTTATTTTTATGTGATGCAGCAACTTGGTCAATCTGCCAAGCGTACGCGCTGGTTTGTTCCACGTTTGTACACAGTCTATGGAAATTAATTCTCGATGTGATTGGCTTCTACAGATTTAGGTAGAAGCCAATCATATCACAGTATTTCAAGTAATTAGCGTTTTTATTCTTAAAAATGCGCGCAGGTTGTTTTGATATTATTCCTTACACGCAATCAGCGTTGTCTGCGTATTCGCGCAGCCAAAAGTTCGCGGAGAACGCACACGCATCCCATGGTGAGGAGTAGAAACAGATACACGCACGTGTACGTTCGAATGCTTTGAAACGGCTCAGGGTACACACAACACGCAGCGGAATCAATGAATCTCAACATCTTTTACAGGTTAACCACAATAAAAATTCCCTTTTGTTTTGAATAACATTTGAATGTCGTGTTCTTAATAAATTCAATCCAAGAGCAGCTGATCTATGCATTATCATCCAAATATAATGTGTTTGAAATCTATAAATTAAGATCACGTTTTTAAAACTTTTGCAGTTTGTTATCCAGCCTTCCATACCTACTGAAAATAATAAATGAGTCTTCAAACATTGGCTACTTTGATTGGTCAAGCAATGTTGCTGCATATGCATATAGATGGTGTTGCATATGCATTGATGAATACAGGCGCGTGCACGCGAGGGGGGGGGTGCTGATGGCAGATTGATCAAGTCGGAATTGCTAACTTTTGCACCACATGTATGCACATGCTCTGAAATACATGCACACACATGTACGTGTAATACGCGTGTTGTACAATGTACATACAGTGTGTGCGCATTGTTATCCGGCACTGAAGTGGAACGCCCGCTGAAGTGTACCTTGTCGCGCTTCTGGAAAGACGTAAACTAAGTGATTTGTGCGATTTGTTTTTTTAAGATACCGACTGAAAGCAATTCCGACTTGAGTCAAGTCTAGCATGTTGGCTGTTTCATAGCTTGTATTGAAACTAAAATAAAATAAAATGGGGGGGGGGTTATATGTCATTGATGTGTTTGAGGCAGTGAAATTGTAAATAGCCAGGCTGTATAACATGAAATACACTTTCCAAGCAAAGGCTTGATTGTGGAGAAATTCTGTTTCAAATGAGGACACCTCTTTCAAAAGTCTATGATAATTTCTGGGATTTCTCAGTTGTTTGTTTGATGGGTTTTTCAAGTTGACTGCCGGCCGATGGTCCAGCTGGACAGTATCTGGCTAAAACAAAATAAACAGTGACTTTTGATAACTCCCATCAAACTTGAGGTTTTGACCGCATTGTCCTAGTGGAACAATGGAGGCCTCACGTCAAGAGCAATATAAGCAAATCAGTGGAGATGTAAAAGAATGGACCTACAGGACTGGATAGCTCATGTAAAATTTGATGTTAAAATGGATAGTGTCCAATCTTAGGTACCATTTTGGGCTCCGTGCACAAATACCCCCTCAACGGTAAGAACAGGAGAGTTTGAGGAGGCCACTGGGAGGAACAGTTGAATGCATTGTCGTTGATGCCTGATGCTCACGTGAAGACGCTATGGCTTTGTGCACATTCAGAATAAAATGAGTACTTTGAACTTCATGCTATACGCCCATGTACAGGGTGCTTCAATAAAAAGGAAACCCAACTTTGAAGAACCAGTATGGACAGACTAAATGTTTACTGGCTATAAACCTGGTATCATCTGATAGCGTAATCTCTATGCTTTTCAATGATACCTTGTTTACATTTCCAGGGTCATGCATCGCTGAGCGCCACTGTCATGAGATTTTGATGCAAAATTGCAGTTGGTTCACTTTCATATCGAACTCAATAGGCATGGTGTGCATGAGAATAAGTATTCAAGAAGAAGACACGAGTGCATGAAAAGAAGCCAAAAAAACAATTCGGGTTGGTTTCAAAACTTGATTTTATTGTTTGTCGTGAATTTCTTGTTTCGACCAAGCCATGTTCAAAACAATGTGCCGTTTTCCCGAGGATTAACATTCAAGCCATTTCACAGACAGTTTCATAACAATAGGCACACCGTGCCCAGTGGTTTTTTTTTTATGAAAGTGACCCAACTGCGTTTTTGCATCCAGTTTTCAAGACAATGATGCTCAGTGATGCATGACTCGGAAAACCTAAACATAGCATCATTGAATAGCATAGAGATTACGCTTTCAGATGATACCAGTTTTATAGCCAGTAAACATATCGTCTGTCCATACTCATTCTTTGAAGTTGGGTTTCCTTTTTTTAAACACCCTGTATAGTGTGAAGCACGCAGTGTGCCCCACTCACGAGGCTCTTAAAGCACTCACTCTTGTATACAGGTGGAGCCCTTGGCCGCTGGGCATTTGTGTTGGTAACACACGTCATCTTCACTGGTTCATTCTGAAACCATTAGGTAGCGAATGCAATTGGGGCAGCCTTGAGCCAAGTCAGCGGTGTGTGGGACACTGTGGTCAGCCTGGACCGAATGACCAGGGAGGAGGCTGTACAGGAAATTAAGCAACAGGCCAAGCAGATTGCCGTTGAGCGTGGTGCTCAGCCAGACAGTGTACAAGTGAGTTAAGTGCAGTTTGGAACCTAGTCTGTTACTCAAGTCTGCATTTGTTTTTTCTCAATTTTGTCTTTATCTATTCTGCACAGCCTACAAGTGCGAAAAAGTGGTCAGTCTCGTTTTGAAGGATTTTTTCCATAGCTGAACCTGGGTTTTAGGAATTGAACTAAATAAGTTTCGTCACAAAGGAATACTGTAAAAGCAAACACCGTTTTCGATCATCTCAGTGGAATTTGACTGAAGCAAATGACAACCATGTTCAACTTTTTTGGAATCTTTTTGTAAATTCATAATCAAAAACAACCGTCATGTGGCCAGATAATCATTACCGTGGTATAAATGGTTTAACAAAATTATAGATAGCAAACGGAACGCACCACAATTGCTGAAATGCAAAACTTTCCACATTTTCACAAGAGGACCAACCTGTTCCTTTGTCACGTTAATAATCTTGAAAATTGTGTAGGAACCAATCCTCAGTTTTAATAATGCAGTAAAATAAATTGCATCTGATCTGGCAGATCACAGAGGTGACGATTGTACCCCTTGCCTACATCACCAACAATGCCACGCGCATCAAGGTCAAAGCTGTGGGGGATCTGACCGTGAAGGATCCAACCGTGAGGGCTCAAGCATCAGCGGGAATAGCATCTCATGAGATGGTAGAAGATCACAAGCCTATCAGTGATTCCCATACCGACAAGCCTGAAGCTAGGACTAGCCAAGGTAAAGGGGGTAGAGGAAAGGGGCCTAATAGGCTTTGTTCACGAGTCAGCCATACTAATTTGAAAGCGAAGTAAAATCTTTGTTTTTGGAACTTGCGAACAGAAATGAAAGCAATGAAAAGAAGTTAATTACTAATTAAAACCAGTCTGCTCTTTTGAATAATTTAAAATTTGTGACTAAACACAAAGACTTGCAAATCACTTGTGATTGCCTTGTGATTGAGTTGCGATTGGCTTGCGATTGACTTGCGATGACTTGTGATTGACGTGTGATTGACTTGTGATTGACTTGTGATTGACTTGTGATTGAATTGTGATTGAATTGTGATTGAATTGTGATTGAATTGTGATTGACTTGTGATTGACTTGTGATTGAATTGTGTTTGAATTGTGATTGAATTGCGATTGACTTGGGATTGCCTTGGGATTGACTTGTGATTGACTTGTGATTGACTTGGGATTGCCTTGGGATTGACTTGCGATTGACTTGTGATTGACTTGTGATGACTTGTGGTTGACTTAATTGTGATCTACCATGAAGTCTGAGTCTAGTCTTCCAGCCATATATGTCATTCCTCCAACATTCTCCTAGTCAGAAAGCCATTCCATGAGATACATTGGGAGTCTTACATCATTGAGAAACCGTATTCTCAACAAATTTGCACTTTCAGAAACCACGAAGCTACCAGCCCCACCACCATCGGAACAGCCATACTAATTTGAAAGCGAAGTAAAATCTTTGTTTTTGGAACTTGCGAACAGAAATGAAAGCAATGAAAAGAAGTTAATTACTAATTAAAACCAGTCTGCTCTTTTGAATAATTTAAAATTTGTGACTAAACACAAAGACTTGCAAATCACTTGTGATTGCCTTGTGATTGAGTTGCGATTGGCTTGTGATTGAGTTGCGATTGGCTTGCGATTGACTTGCGATGACTTGTGATTGACGTGTGATTGACTTGTGATTGACTTGTGATTGACTTGTGATTGAATTGTGATTGAATTGTGATTGAATTGTGATTGAATTGTGATTGACTTGTGATTGACTTGTGATTGAATTGTGTTTGAATTGTGATTGAATTGCGATTGACTTGGGATTGCCTTGGGATTGACTTGTGATTGACTTGGGATTGCCTTGGGATTGACTTGCGATTGACTTGTGATTGACTTGTGATGACTTGTGGTTGACTTAATTGTGATCTACCATGAAGTCTGAGTCTAGTCTTCCAGCCATATATGTCATTCCTCCAACATTCTCCTAGTCAGAAAGCCATTCCATGAGATACATTGGGAGTCATACATCATTGAGAAACCGTTTTCTCACAAATTTGCACTTTCAGAAACCACGAACCTGCCAGCCCCACCACCATCGGAACCCACCCTTGCCTTGCCAGACCACCAGGTGGACCCGGCCACCGGTGAATGGATCCTATCAGAGTTTGACGTGGAGTGTATCGCCATAGGGGCTGGTATCTTAGGCTGCGGGGGAGGGGGAAGCCCCCATCTAGGTCTGCTCATCGCCCGTAAAGTACTGCAGGAGGGAAAAAAGATAAGAGTCATTGCTCCAGAGAGGTAGACAAACTTGAAAAAAACCCTCAAAGTTATTTAATGACGGTTGGTGCAGTAAAAAGGAATTTCATATCCTCTTTTTTAGACTTGAAAACAAGTCGGTAATTGGCCGGGTTTAATTCACCTACACCGCCGGGTACCACTGACGTATACGCTGCATACTGTCGATTGCGGGTATCGCACATGCGGGAGCGTTTCCTGCATCCTCGGCCCCAAAATGCGTGTGCGTCGACTTGAATAGTCTGTACCTCGGATTTGTACAAAAGAATGAGGTTTGCTACCAAAATTTGATGGAGCACCCTGATTGGCTAAGAATCAGGAAGATATGAATATTTATATTACACCTGGCAGTTACTAGTCTCAGTGCACGTGTATGTACACGTGACATATGGTGAATGCACGCAACACAGCCTGGAGCGAATCAATTGCTTGAAGGGTCGAAAGCTAATTCCTGGGTGTTTGTTTATTCCATCATATTATATTCTTATTCGGAAAAACAAGATTTTGACATTATGTTTCCAATTTACCACTGAGTGTTTACTTTAATGAAAATTGTTCGAATACAGGGAAACAAATAGAAACAAGCATGCATTGACCGAGTGAAAGATATGCCCACTCTAAGAATGGATGCTTCCACAGGAATACGGATGGGCATCATTGGCCCTCTCCATGGAAACGTAGTGCGTATGCGTTTCACTGTGCGCATAAATTAATAACCGTCCAAATTTATATTAGTCAAGTTGTTAGACATGTCGAAGCCAGGAATTAATGTAAACAGGATACAAAGTGAGGGGCCCAGACAGACAATACACGACTGTCTGTATAATGACTTGTTTAAAAGTCTACCTCTCATTTAAGAGCAAAACAGTTCTTTAGTATTGACACTCTTCCCTAGTTTGACTGTTCAGGAGTTATTGCTTGTGCACACTGATTATACATGTATGTCATGATTGAACATGTACGTCTTCTGGTTTGTAGCACTGTGCATTTGTGCCTCATGTTTTTACTTTTTCCTTCCTGTTTGCAGACTAGGACTTACCCCCGAACTGACCGGACTAGTGGTTCCAATCGCCTTCATGGGAGCTCCGGGGGTATTCATTGAGAAACTACAGGCTGGTTTTGAGTCCACCCGGGCAATAGAATGCATACAGCAGGTGGCACAGGCTGCATTTGGAGACAGGATACCAGACAACATAGGTCAGACCATAGATTTGCCGTTATACAGTGTGCCAAGTTCGTGTCTGCTGGGACCGATTTCGTGGCTCTGCTCAACAGTTAGCAGAGCAATTTTGCTGAGTAAAAGCAGAAACGTTTGCTAACGGTGTGGACATGCTAACAGTTTCACAGCATGGAGATTCTATTGTTATGAAACTGCCAAACATGGAGCACAGACAGATCTCATTAAAGAGATGGAGTACATTTATTACTGTGATACATTCCATTATTGCATTTGCTCATTGCTAACTGATTTCTCCCACGCTAGATGTATATATTGGGTACATAAATCTGTTGTGAATGAGTATTATTCGTGTAATCTGGATGATTGTTTCGTTTACGTGATCCCCAGATGGTGTTCAAGTGAAGAGAGACAACGGTGTGGTTTATGTTGATGACTTTCCAAAGGTGGGGAGTGGTTCGACTCCCCCCTCACCCCCGGCAGGTATGTTTGCCCGTGGCTGTTATGCCAATGAGTAAAGGTTGCTGGCATATACAGGGTGACCCCCCCCCCCCCCCCCCCCCCCCCCCCCCCCCCCCCCCCCGAAATGCAACCCTGAAATATTTGCTGTATTGCAAAAACGTGATCTGTGAATATGTTTTTTTGGATATCAGATTAAAGCTGAGAGCTTTTTCTTTCAAAAACTGAGAAAAAAAATCATGACAACAGCACATCAGTTTGCTGAGAAAAAGCCAATTATATAAGAAATGAATTTTCATCCTTTCCAATGGTGCTTCAAACAGTGAAACATGTTACTGTATTAAAGCCCACTGTGCAATTGTCTATCATTTGTGCAATTTCTTTGATATTTTGACATATTTATGATGCTGAAAAGGTTTAAAATGGGACTAAAAAGGATAAAATACCTGTTCAGGTGGAAAATAAAAGGTATTTCCATCAAGTTTATTGTACTCTTGTCATATTATATTAAAGATAGTGATGGCCCTAAACTCTCTGTGAAATTATTCTTTCTGGCATGCAGTCATTTTGAAGAAAACAATAAAATAAGGCCATTTCCAAAGATGCGTCAAGTAAAGCATTGTTGGAGATTTCCATTAGTAGTTGGTTTGTAATGAGGCGAATCCGTGCTTAGATGCAGGCAAGCGTTGACTTGACGCACACGTGTGCGCAGTTGCTAATGTTGGTCGGTTCAGTGTGTGACATCGCGTAGCTGCAATCGGCTGAATGAGTACGTTTCCCGGACGCTGATTTCATGCGTAACTTTCAAAACATGACTCGGCAACTTTTGAATTGAAACTGATATCCTAGAATATTGTTTTCACGGAATATACAGCATTCACAGAGCTTAAATGTCATCAGCTTAGTTGTTAAGCACCCATCTTTAGATTAAGTTTGAGCACAAATGACAAATGATCTACCCTATTTTTAAGATCTACAAAACCCCCTTGGATCTTCCCAACAGCAACACTTGATCGGGCATACGTAAGTAAACTGGAAGGTATGATTGATTTACAGCTCTTTATATGTCTCATAGGCTGTAAGGTGGTTGCCTTAATGAGTGCTGAAATAGGGGGCACTAATGCCATGGAGCCCTTAGCAACAGCGGCCATGTTGGATTTACCCGTCGTTGACTGTGATGGAATGGGCCGGGCCTTCCCAGAACTTCAGGTAATCGTAACAGATGTGACTAAAGCGTTTGTGCTTAAACAATTTTTATGTACTGGAAGAAAAAAAGCTGAGTTTTGTAATAAATATACATACTCCACGAGTGTGATTATTTTCTGCAGTAGCTGGCCCATGCCATTACTTGGGGGGGGGGGGGGGGGGCTTGAGTAGGTTACTTAATTATATGCCATTTGTTGTGTCTCTTCCTCGTAGATGATTATTCATTCCATTTATGGTCATCCATTGTGCCCGAGTGGCTTAGTTGACGACAAGGGTCGTAGAGCGGTGACGTTTTCAGCCGAGAGCAACAAGCACTTGGAAAACCACTTCAGGGCCGTTGCAGCTGATATGGGGTATGACCCCAACATGCTCTGTATTCCTTATCCACTCCTCCATTCTGCTATTGTTCAGATTGCATTCATGATTGTCTGTTGGTCTGCCTATCTTTGTTTCTGTTTCTACTTTTTTTTTATTTTATTTGTTTTATTTCTTTCTGGTAATGAAAGCCAGGGGTTCAAAAGCATCTTAGGCACTGTAGTTTGCAAGCCTGAAGAAACCTGTGGAGAGAAGACAATGAGAAGAAAAGACAGTTTTAGAAGTGGGAGGAAAACCCCAGAAGAATATTCTTGGTAAAACCCACAGAATCACCCAATCCACATGTGGTCCGGGCAGGAATCGAACCTGGGCCGTAGCGGAGGAAGGTTAGGAAAGTAACCACTGTGCCAACCTGACTCCCAAAAGTAAGAGGGCCTAAGGTTTTGATCCTGTATGTAGCAGAACTATATATTGGGTTTTGCCCGCCGCCGACATATTTTCATAAACATTGCATAGCTGCCAACTAGTACGATTTTTTCGTAATTATTACGAATTGTTTGTTAAATTACGAAAATACGATTTGCCACTAAAACATTACGAATTTCCCATTTTCTACCTAACAAAAAAAAATGTAAAGTATCGTTTTTGACCAAAAACTTCTGGCGAAATGTCGCGGTAATGGATGGACTGGTGATAAGTCTAATAAGAATGCAGTCAAGCACCTGATAGACATCAATGCAGTGTGCGCAGTGGAGTACTTGAGGACCAGACTAAATATATTTTTCAATGGTGTGTCATTTGTGTGCATCTCGTGGATGTGTGGTTGTGTGTACTGTATGTGAGTACTTTTCAGTGACGATCGTGAGCACATTTAGTCGCTTATTGCCGGGATGAGACCCATCAGTGCGAGATTTTAATCATGGAATTTAATAAGAGTATGGTTGGAATAATTGGTAATAGAGTTTGAGTTTGTCACAACGGACAGAAAAGATAAATCAGCATGCGTTTGCAAGGTATGTTGGCGGGATATTTCTATTGCATACGGTGGCCATAGATCATTGTGTGTAAAAACATGATACGAACTCGAAACTCAACATCAATAGCATGCATCTCCAAAAAAATATGCGCACATGTTATTGATGTTATTATTTATTTGACTTCAACAAACAAATACAGACATTAAAACGAAATTAATTTTTTTTTTTTTTTTTTTTTTTTTTTATTTTTTTTCTTTTTTAAATTATCTTTTTTTTTTAGCCTACAGTACATTATTATTCACAACAAGAAGGGTATGCACATGTATGTGTACATGTAAACCATGTACCTGTTCTCGATGTTGGTAAAGCTTTTGATAAAACGAGCAGTTGAAAATGACCGCGCGGGTTGGTTACTAATTGGGATTTTGAAATGTTGGCAGCTATGACATTGTATTCTCCTGACGATTTCTTGACTATCTCCATTTCTCTCAGCTGCCAAGGCGCCCTTGCCATCGCCCCACTCAGCCCAGAGATTGTCAAGAAGCACACTATTCACTACTCAGTCAGCCGAGCCTGTCAGCTCGGCCGTGCTGTCTTGCAGGCCAAGAGAGACAAGTCATCACCCATTGAGGTCATCCTGAAGCATGAGAATGGCAAGTTGCTGATCACTGGCAAGGTCAGTGCTTAAAAGAAAAGAAGCAAATATTATGAAATAAATTATACAGGGAAACTGACTAGGTGCATAAATAATAAATCTACAGTTGAACAACAAAATAGACTAGATTTGTTGCCGAGATTTGCAAAATTGCTTATGTTGCTCGCATGATGCTTGACTTTGGCTGAGATCCCTGTCTAAATAGCATATATGGAGTTTGTGATCTGATAAGTACCCTTGATCATAGGCAGTGACAAACTGGGGAATGACCAACATAGGGCTGGATAGCTCAGTCGAGAGTAGCATTGGCATGGTTTTCCCAGATCGACTCAGGTAAAGGCAGACAGGTTAGCCGTGACAGCCGGGCTAATCAAACGCTCAATCCAACGGCCATCACAGTCCTCATGTGATGTCTGTAGCCGCGGCCGTAGCCACTGACAAAATGCCCGTTTCGTGCTGGGTTTTAGTTTGAGATTTACTGCTTTTCAGGCAATGGCATAACTCAAACAAGTTGGGCTGGAATTAGAGCCTCTAAAGTCGCAATGAACTTAATAATTAATGGCCTTCAATAAAGTTGATTTTTGGTCAAATTGATGTTTCCGCTGTCCGGCATGTGACGTATTTCCACCACTGACTCTGCTCCACGATCATGGTCTGTGGTGGCTGACCCGGGTGAGCCCTGAGAATGACGTCAGAGCGACACGGGGCTAACTCGAGTCAATCCCGGTGAGCTACTCAAACGCACCCATAGAGCCCTTGACATGAATCCCTCTCCAGTCATTTTCACACTTTGTTTTGTTCTTGTCCACAAAAGATCTGTGATTTGTCGAGAGTCATCACAGGTGGTTTCGCCCGTGGGAAGCTGATAGTGGAAGGAACAGGGCCAGAGTACAACGGCCAAGAGCTGGAGATTGAGTTTCAGAACGAGAACCTGGTGGCAAGACGCATCAGCAAGGACCACAGCGAGGTTGGTGGCGTTGTTGTAGTCGAGTACATTCCATGAGTATGAGTATGAGTACTCTGTTAAGAGTACGAGTAAAAGGCAATTTTTTTCCCCATGAGTACAAGTATGAGTATGAGTACCTAAAAATGTAAGAGTACGGTAGGCACATACTGAAATTTGTATCCTTGTGGAGACATTTCTTTGTTCTCGTGTACTAAAGTTTTTGAGTTTGAAAGTACAGTTTCAAAATGCTCTTATTTTAACCAGAATTAATTCCCTTGGCTGAAATTCGGACTTAATATCCCTTTTCTAAAACTCTACTATTTGTGACGGATCAACATACCTTGGAAATCCCTAGTTTTTGAGTAAAATCCATATATCTATTTCGTGAAAACCTTGTGGAGACGTATTCATCTATAGAAATTGCCCTGTGGAGACGTATACAATCTTTTGTTCCCTATTGTGTGCATGTCTCCAGAGGGCACGGTGTATCAGATCGAGTCTGAGTACAAGTACGTGTACTAATTTCCACGAGTAGGAGCATATGTCAATGTGTCACATGATCCCAAGGGCTTTTTGCTGTCAAACTAGATAAACAAATGCAGAAGCCTCCCAAACAGTAGAAAACTGCTGCTTTACTTAAATTGTTGGGAGAGAACATGTGTAAGAGTACGAGTACTCAGTCATGAGTCTGAGCATGGGTAATTTTTTTTCTTGTGAGTATGAGTATGAATACAAGTACATTCTCATGAGTACGAGTACCAAAAAATGTACTCAAGATCGAGTACGAGTACAACTGCCACTTTTGGGTGGTACAACATAGCACTGAAGTAAGAGTAGCACTAGAATCAACCACAAGTCGATCACAAGGAAAATACTAAGCCATTCACAAGTCCATCACAAGACAACTAAGATCAGGTCACAAGGTACAGTAGGGCAGAAACGGAATGTCTTTGTCATGTCCTTGCAACTCAGCACCTAGCATGAGACAGTGGACGAGGTGTGAATGATCTGTGGTTGGCTTGCTGTGAACTCATGAGGACTTGGCTATACCTCTGGATCTAGGCAGAAGAAATAACACAGAGGAAAAAGAAAACAGAGTTGTGTAATATTTCCAGATTTGTTAAAATTGGTTAAGCAGTTTGGTAAGCAAATTGGTTAAGCAGTTTTTTGGGCGCCATCTTAAAAAGAGAGTGTATGACACGTACACACGCTGGTTCCAAGTCGTTTGCACACATGTATTATACTAACTGGCTGGCGCCCGGCGGTTACATCAATGTCAGAATTACTTGGCTACGGCTTGATATTACACACATGTCTATGGTAGCGGCTGCAGCCACATCCCATAGACTCATGTGCAATTTCAAGCCGTAGGCGATAATTCGGACACGGCTTATATATCTAACCGATTTTTCAGCGTTACGGTTCATAAAATCACGGTATTTAATTGACAATGTAAACGATTTTGAGGAAATTCGTAATAAAGGGCAATAAATTTGTAATTCGGAATACAGCTTGTATTTTCGTTATGATTCCACCAAATTCAGATAGGTTTGCAGGTATGCACTTGTACTACATTGTATTACATTGTATTTATTCACTGAAGAATCAGTAAAACCATAGAGTGCTGGGGCGGTTTCGCATGCTACGGTGAGTAACAGGCAGGGTGGTTTTTGGCGCTACAGTGACTAAAAGGTTAAGTTTTGAAAAATCGAGCACCAAGGCAATTTTTGTTTATTTTTTCAACATTTTCCAAACGATTTGTCCAGGTCTTTGACTCCTTCAATTTTGTTCCAGGTCGTAGCGACGACCCCTGACCTCATCAGTATCGTGGACGCCGACCTGGGTCATCCGATCAGCACGGAGGAGCTTCGTTACGGTCTGCGCGTTGCAGTCTTGGTGCTGGCCTCGCCGCCATTGCTACGCAGCCAGAGGGCGCTGTCTGTGGTTGGCCCACGCGCCTTTGGCTACGATCTTGAGTTTACGCCCAGAGCTGACATGGCCGAGTATGTTCTGAACGCTCCGATACCACCACTTCCCTGAAAGTATCAACCAAAGTGGGAGACGTTTCCCACAGTGGCTGCATTTTTTAAGCAACAAAGACACTTTGACAGATAATAGTTGAACTTTTGCAAGGTGAAGTCTTGAGCAAGAAATCTCAATTGTGAGTTTGTGACAGTTCTTTTCAGAATCTTACAAACTCACAAAAGTGATTTTTGTCACTTGGTGAAACCGCAAACATACTCTTTTTGTACACTTTAACAGAACCGTATGATGAGAAGAAACAGCAGCAAATAATTATACTACTGAACTTCACGCTAAAGTACATCTTCAGCTGTTAAAACAAAATCTGCAATATGTTTTTTTAAATTTTTTTTTAGGTCTCTTATGTTTTACTGTTTTAAATATATATATTTTTATGGATACTATATGTAACGTTTTACTGATTGCACATAGGAGATCATATCTCATGTAATTTTTTACGTGACTAATAAAACGAATCTTGAATCTTGAATGTCTTATTCAATGACACATGAAAGTCATTTTTGTGCTATGCGAATTCCTCTCAGATTTGCTTGCACACACGTACTATTGCGCACATTACATGTACATGTACGTTTTTCACTTGGTTTCTTGTGTTGTCCGCACAGTGCTATGTACACCTGAACGGAGACTGTTTCAGAAATGTCAATTCAAAAGTGTAACAGTGCCCAAATGACAAAATGAGAGACTGTAAACATGTGGACTATTGTGCTAAGAGTCAGTTGGCACATATGGAATTTTGGTTCACTCACACTGAATTACGAAGCAGAATTTCTCCTGTGTAATGTACTCCGACTCTTCAAAGTAGAGTTTTTTTGTAAGGGAATATATATGTGCTTGACCGGTATTAAACAAGTACTTTAAAACCAGCTTGGTACCTGGACCCTGATAATGGCCCTTGCCCAGCCAGGCATGCAACTTTTCCTCGGCTCCGCTGATTTCCTCAGTTTTTACTTCTCATGAATGCCATTACAAATTGAAAAACACTGTACAGAGTCTTGTGTGGTTTGGAATTTCCTCGTTTTTTCAAAATTCCCAGTTGCATGCCAGCTTATCATACTTATTTAATACCGGCCAAGCACATATTTATTCCCATTCATAAATACCTTTTGGTCAAAGTCAAAACAAGTCAAAATTTCCCAAATTTCCAACGATTTTGTTCAACAATTTTAATTCATGTTTTGTGAGACGCACCCCCTGGCCATGTCTATGGTATGTGCCTTGCGTGCGTATTGCTTACAATCTTATATGGAAATTGACGCATGTCCTGCTGCGTGCTGGGCGTACTGCGCGGAGTGGGGCAGAATGCCAGAATTGTGTTTAAAACCAGCTAGTGTTGTATCAGTGGTATAAAAACCACCCATGTGATGGGCTCTTGACCAATAGGAATGGGTAACTGTATCAGGTATTTATGAATTGATTTTTATGATACATTTACAAACAAGACAAGTATTAAATACAGGCTGAGTCTATTCTATTTTTGTAGATCAAAACAAGTTTATTACAACTTTGAACTTTTTATATTTTCAACAATCAGTACTACTCAAGACTGAGATGAAGAATTACAAGTAATGACTTCTTATTGTTATTTGTATTTTTTTTACAGTAAGTTTAGACTAGTTTAATAACTTAAAAGAGTTAATGGCCATTGCATCTTTCAGCATAAATTGGTACAAATAGTTTAATTTTTATATTAAAACTTTGAAGTTCTTTATTATATAAACTTGCTTTATTTAGCAACTTATCAAATTTAATTTAATCAAGCAGCTTTATTTTTTATAGCTCATTTTTTATGTAGCATGCTTTATCTGAAATGACACTGAAACAGGAAACCCGTCAACCTTTCTTTCAAAATTGCAATTCTATGAAAAGTGCAACAGAAATGCATTTCAGAGAGTCTTTTCAAAACAGTGCAAGACCTTAAAATACTACATGCTAGTTGCCCCCGATGGCTGTCATACTTGTTTCAAGACTAGCCGGTTCCTTATAAGAGATTAAAATGGTAGTAGAAGTGGCTAAAAACAATCAAAATTCTGTAATTAAAACACAGACTTTTGTGTTGGCCCATGGAAAAAACCTGTGGAACCTGTGAGTGTTGCCAGAATGGTGGACTGAAAATGAATATTACTTTGACTTCGCCTATTGCTCTGTGCAGTTTTGTTTGCTTATGCTGCTACCAGTGCTCTATAGGCATTCATTAGTCTTCCTTCCGAAACTCAGACGGCCTCATTAAAAAAAATGTAATTTTAATATTTATTTGATATTAATGTCACCATTGCACAATTTGGCAGCTGACAATATTTTTTGGACTTAGATCAGCAAGTGTAAGATGCTATATTTTATAAGCAAGACGCTATATAAGCAGGACAGTATATGTGTGTATAATTCCATTAGTAATTATATGCTTAGTTGTATTTATAACTTGAGGTTATTCGGGTATTATTGTACTCAGATATTGCAATAACAATTGATTATATCAGAGGAAACTAGGTAAATATAGTCTCATATTATTTTCATTTAGAAGTGCTTGATCACAACATGAAAACATAAAAAAACTAACTATGCCAAAATGATCATTCTATGCTGAAGAAAAACCAAAAAACCACAGCAAACTGCCTTGAGTACACGCATGCTTATCAAGTGCTTTTCACTGCAGAAAGAAAATTTGATAAATGATTTTTTTTTCGTGCATGGTCTTTGAAGCAAAAACTGATCTGCAGAATAAATTGAAGCTTATTTTTATAATCCGACTTTGATTTTTACAACGTTGTACTCATTGCCTGCCTTTATTGCGATATAGATATCGGCAACCTTCTCGTGGTCTTCTCTGTAATCCTGAACTTGTTTCTGGAGACTAATGCCGATGACACGAAACCAAACCAAACGTAGGATGGAAACTCAGGTCCGCGGCCCCGAGCGGGCGGCAGCAGTCGTCGAAGGCGCGGGTGCCGCAATACTGCAGTTGAACGTCGAGGGTCTCACCACCGCCAAACTTACCATCATTGAACAGCTTGCATATACCAACAAAGCCTCTGTTATTTTGCTGCAAGAAACACACTGTGAAACGACGGAGAAACTAACAATTCCCAAATTCACACTAGCTGCACACATCTTGAACAAACACCACGGCCTGGCTACCTTTGTCAGACAGGACACAGAGTGGTCCCTGGAGGCACAGTCCGCAGATGACTCCGAACTGGAATGGCTGGCCGTGAAGGCTCAGGATGTAACTATCATTAACGTGTACAAGCCACCCCCAACACGCCTGACCAAAGCATCCCTACCAGCCGTCACTCACCCCTGCATCTGCGCCGGCGATTTCAACTGCCACCACACTGAATGGGGCTACTCCAGATCCAACAATGACGGAACTTGTCTTGTAGAATGGGCATCTGCCAACAACCTGACTCTCCTATACAACCCAAAGGAGCCCGCTAGCTTCCACTCTGCCCGGTGGAATTCAGGTTCGAACCCAGACCTAGCTTTTGCTAGCAGCACAAAAGTCCAACCACCCCTGGTTCGCCGAGTGCTGGAGAAATTCCCAAGGTCCCAACACCGACCATCACTCGTCACACCGGTACCACTCGTTGCTCCTACCTCAAGCAAACCAGTGAGACGATGGAACTTTCGAAAAGCTGACTGGGACAGGTTCAAATTGCTCACCAACCAAGCCAACCAGAACCTCCCACCACCGGACAGCACAGACCTGGATACCTCATACAAGGCATACTGTAACATGCTCACCAACGCAGCCAAGCAGTCAGTCCCCCGTAGATACCAGAGGAACTACATCCCATGCTGGGACGAAGAATGCCAGAAGCTGTACGAAGATCACACAGCAGCTACATCCAAAGAGGGATCTGATGCCACAGCCAACATCCTGATGAAGCGCCTGGATGAGAAACGCCAAGATCGTTGGACAGAGACAGTTGAATCCATTGACTTCACACACTCCAGCCGAAAAGCCTGGCACACCATCAACCGCCTCACAGGAAGGAACACATCTAAACCTGACAAATGCCCCGTGAGTGCTAATGCAATTGCATCGCAACTACTTCAGAATGGTCGTTTTACCAACCCAGACCGAAACTTCTCAAGACAGGTCAGAAAGGAAGTTGCTGAGCTATGGAAGGTTGACGGTGGGGACGTGAACATCACCAACCCCTTCACCACAGAAGAACTGGTCGAAGCACTGAAGTCAATGAAGGCGGGTAAGGCCCCAGGACCAGACGATATCCACCCAGAGTTCCTCTTACATGCAGGAGATGCTGCAACCGAGTGGTTACGTCGGTACTTGTCCACCTCGATGGAAAGATGCAAAATCCCCAAAATCTGGCGCAAGGCAACTGTCATCGCCCTCCCAAAACCTAACAAGCCCAGGGACGACCCTAAAAGCTACAGGCCTATTTCACTCCTGTGTGTTCCATACAAGCTGCTTGAAAGGATGATTCACGGACGCATCAATTCCATCATTGATCCCCAGCTGCCCCGAGAACAGGCTGGCTTCCGCAAAGGACGATCCACCATGGATCAGGTAACCCTGCTCACCCAGGACATCGAGGATTGCTTCGAGGCCAAAGAGACAGCTGGCGCTGTACTCATAGACCTGACCGCCGCGTATGACACTGTATGGCACCGTGGGTTGACTTTAAAACTTCTACGGATGTTGCCAGACAGACAGATGGTACACTTTATTGTGGAGCTGATCTCAAACCGCAGCTTCGTGCTCAAGACCAGCGACGGGCAACAAAGTAGACCACGCCGGCTCAAAAATGGCGTTCCACAGGGATCCGTCCTGGCTCCAATGCTGTTAAACGTGTACATCCATGACCTCCCTGATACAATCTCTAAGAAGTACGGATATGCCGACGACCTGGCCATCCTGACAACACACAGAGAGCGGAAGATGATTGAAAGCATCCTGAGCCAGGACATGAGCACCTTGGCCCTATACCTGAGACAGTGGCGATTGAAGCTGAGTGAGGGTAAGACAGTCTCTACAGCCTTCCATCTGAACAACAAGGAAGCAAAACGTGAGCTGGATGTGTACATCAACAAGAGGCGCTTGGACTTCCAGACAACAACCACATATCTTGGTGTCAAGCTGGATAGGACACTCTCCTACCGACAACATCTTGCCGGACTCCGAGACAAGGTCATGGCACGCAGTGCTCTCATCCGTAAACTCGTGGGCACAGGATGGGGAGCAAGTCCATCAACACTCCGCACCTCTGCCCTGGCACTTGTGTACGCGCCGGCTGAGTATTGTGCACCAGCATGGAGTAGGAGCAGACACACCAGCCTGGTAGATGTGAGCCTTAACTGCACCCTGCGCACAATCACTGGATGCTTACAACCTACACCAGTTGAGCAGCTCCCTGTGCTTGCAGGCATCCTACCAGCTGAGCTCCGTAGGCAGGCAGCAAGCATGGCGCTGGCCCGACGCGCCATGGATCCAGATCACCTCCTCCA